GTGTAGCTCTTGAGGTGAAAATTGTAGGGCTTAGTCGAATGGTACTCGAAATACGTTTCTCCGTGCATCAGAGAGAAACGGAGTGACCCATACTTCATTTCACATTCCTTTGTTGAAAACTGCGAAACACATCCTACAGACGTGTAACTAAGAGGTGCCCGGGGCGCATTTCCTATCATTTGTCACCAAATGATGCAAAATATATAACAATTTTAAAAATTTTCGATTTATAAAAATCATTTATATAACATATAAACAGAAACAGTTGTTAAATTTTAGAATAAATCGGGAAGAGTATTTCAGGTTTGACACAAATTTCTACTGATCAACAAGGTATTTCACTTAAAGTTCGATGGCTTTACTCTTAGTTTTAAAGTCTGAAATGCGAACTAAGAGCAAACAAGTGTAGATCCTATGTGACCACAAAGTCCGACTTGGGCGAAGGAGAAAGAAAATACATTTTTTACTTCCTTGTACGAAGTAAAGGAAGTATTATAATCACGAAAATTTCTGGGTTCCATATTTCAACAAAAATATCCATTTTGACCGATAGCGAATGCAATTTAACGGTTTTTCGCTTGATATCTATACGTAAAGACAGAATAAAGGACTCTTTTTCCCCAAACGAATCATAAAATCGATTTAAAATGGATTCAGAGGAGATTTTTTTTCGTGGCGTCTGTACGTACGTACGTATGTATGTACCTCGCACAACTCAAAAACGAGTAGCCTCAGAACGTTGAAATTTTGTCTATAGGACTGCTATAATAGGTAGTTGGGCACCTCCCTTTTTTGGTTGCAATCGGCCTCACTAAAAGTATACATATATATATATATATCCAAGCTGTTATTCGGCTCAGTGAGCTCTTTTTTTTTTTTTTTAATTTTCGTTGGTAAATTCCGCATTGTTTTTGCTTTAAAAATGACTGAATGATCTTCCGGTTAAGGTTTTTATGCCTTTAGTTAATCTGCATGCAATAGTTGTAGAATTATAACAATTTAAAAGTTGTTTAAGTGCTGCTAAGCCTAATTTTTGTTTACCATAACAGACATATTTGTTTACAGTTGAAACGTAGCATAATGGTGAATTCACTTTCTGCACCTTCACTGTCATTTTGCCGGAGTGGGGCGAAAATTAAACTTTCATTTTTGCGCACCGAAAAATCTGCCTCGTTGCCTGCTGGCCGCATTGCTTGCTCTTGCGTAGGAGGTTCAGAACTCCTTCCACTCCTCCTCATGATTTTCAATATTTAGCGTTAGGAAAGTTAGTTTAATTTCTCGCCGGTTAAAATAATATTTTGGAAGCGAGAAGGGAATTATATTTGGCAAAATTTTCGGTTATCTAACTCTTTGTTGCATTAAATTTTATTTTGATTTCAGTTACATTAATCAACATAAGAAACAGATAAAAAGTGGCTTTTAGATTAGGCAAACGATATAAGCATCAACCATTTTAGCATCTTGAATTTTATTTGATAAACAAGTTTTTAAAACATTTATCTTTCTCTTTTTTTATCAGATTCCTTAAATACATTGTTACGAATTTGAAGTTCTTCTTGCCGCTAGCATTTATTTCTTTGATCTTTTGGGGCAATTCTGCTCTCGGCGTCAGTTGAAATCGTCTGGGCAGCCATGAAGAGAGCTTGTCTGTTCTGTTCTCGATACGAAACTATGTAATTGTAATTGTAAATACCTGTATGTATTAATGTTTGTATAATGTGAAAATTAAAATTTTAAAATATCTTTTCATTAATATAAATACATAAATAAATGTACAAGCAAAGAAAAATTTTCTTTTAAATTTCTAAAAAAATATTATTTTAATTATAAGTTCATTATAAGTCTTTTGATAATGTAAGTATATCAACTTCAAATGCTCGAAAGCCCGAAAAAACAATCAAGCTCGAGCTCGAGCTTAACCGAGCTTCAAATCGTCGAGCTTTACCAAACCCTAATCTGAACTAATGACCAATATAATATGAGAATTAAGTCAAATACGTGTGTTATGTATGATGTCATAAATATGTCAAGTATCAGTAAGTATTTTAAGAATGATTAGTAAATTAAGCATAGTAATTAAGCCAAGAAACCGAAATTTACTGGATAGTTATCTTTTTAATAAATATATTTAATTTAAATGTAGCACGGATTGTAGCGGCAACGGATCTATTTCTAATACCATTTGCATGGAATTCCATCTAATGTTGCATGACGAAGGGAATATGGAGTAATTTATGTTTTTCACATTACTAACAGCAAAAAATAAAAAGAATAATAAAAGTTACAAAAATATAAAACCTGAAAGCTTCCTGATTTTATATTACCCTCAAAGGGGCGTTTTTTTAACGTTTTGTGTGCTACCTTTATTAAGTATCATGTTCTTCTTATTTAAATCATATAAAATTCAATTCAACAACAGTACCATTGCTCTCTTTGAAATCGTTGTGTTTGTTAATCAGAAATTCGTTAAAGTTTTGCAAAATATGAAATAGGTAATAAAAACAAATTCTAGATTTCAAATTCGGCATCCATGCTCGGGTGAAAGATTACGTTATTCAGAATTGGATTGATTTAGGTACCGTCGTTTTTTCACGTAGCGAGAAACGTACATACATTCAGGCAGATTCTTCATTATTTAATTTCTTTAAATATAATACAGAGGGATAATATTCAGTGGCAACAATTTAAAAAGTGATTCGCCGTTTATAGTGAAACGTCAAAAAATCCCGTTTTGAGACTAATAGCCAGTCCGGGTTACCGCCCCTTTGGGATAAATAATAAATTATCTTCTAATAGTATATTTAGAATTTTACTTTGATTTTTAATACTTCTTACTAGTAATCTTAAATAATCTGTAATAACTGCTGAATATTACAACTTCATATCAAGAAGAAGAAGGTTTTCATTTGAGCTACTAAAACAACGTAGAAGCCAATTACTGCAAATTTTTTACTGCTATTCAGATTTATGGCTCCTATATTACCAATTACTATTTTTCACTTTTATGGGACACGTTATAAAACTAAAGTAGGTTATAAATATTGAAAAAATTAAAATTCTAATGTAGTGCTAATTCATATTTTCATAGAAGTAAAAATCAGAGCGAACCAGTATGATAATAAAACCCAGTTTTATGTAATAAAATAAAAGATGAAATAAAAGGAATACGCAATTAATAATGTAATTGTAACTCATTATTCCTTTGTTTGCAAAAAATAATAATCAAAATTCAACTTTATATTTCATACCAATTTGGTGGCAGGTTTCGAAAGAGAAGTACGAGCTTCTACGTGTTTTGAAATAACAGAAATTAATAGATACTGAAAAATAAATTTATAATTTCTGAGAGTTATAACTTCTCAAAATTTCCTCCAATATTTTTTACTAAACTTTTAATATCCATATACTCTCAAAATATTTAGTGCAGACAAAAATTAGATGCTATGAAAATCATAAAATATGCTCCCATGGCAATGCTTATTTTCAGAATAGAATCATGTGGGTATTAGTTCGATGGACGTTGTAGAGACATTAGGATTAATTGGAAAAGCCGAGAGATGAAAAATTAGCAAACGCCTTCCCCGGGAATCGAACCACGAAACTCTGGAATACCAGCACAGCGTGCAGAACCACTACACCACGAACGCACGGGGGAAAAGCCAGAGAAATACCTTATAATCTATACCTAAAGATATTAGTTCTATACCTTTCGATGCATGAAAACATAAAATTAAAAAATAAATTTAATTACATTTAGTTTAAAAAGTAAAATATTCCTGAATTTTTTTTTTTTTTTTTTTTTTTTTTTTAAGTTTGAATTCGAATCGAGTTTCCTGTTATTTATTCTGTTATTCGTTTTCTGTTATTCTTCGAATCACGTTTATTGCCTATTTTATACAATGCCTTCCCCCTCCAAATTCAGAACTGGTTAGCCCCTTACCATGCATTTTACTTGTTATCAGATTTATAAGAGTGCAACATTGTTATCTTAATTTAGAAGTCAAACAACAGTAACTACAAACTAAGATAACAATTTATCTTAGTTGTTATCTTAGTTAGGAATTGGGCAGATTGCAATATTTTTGAGTTCTTAACTGCAACTCGAACAACCAAAAATTATTGTAATTTACTTAAAAGTAATATTCATATTATTTTGAAAGCAAAATGTGGTGATAGTAGCAAATACGTTTGAAATAGGAAGCTTGAAAAATTAGCTGAACTAGTCTAAAATTGGAACCACAGATCTTCAACTTACTGGCTGAATATATTAACCACTCACACCACGCGAAACGTACAGGAGACGCCGAAAATTCCTTAAAAGACTAGGAAAACAGTCAAAAAAATTTTCTGAAGGTTTCATTTAACGTACAGAAGAAGATCAAGGGGAAAGGCAAATTAGTGTCTAGTGTTTGGATCAAATTATGCTTATTATTTTTCGATATAAATTGCATTTAAAATTCTAGAGTCTAAATCCTCCAACATTTACCACTTACAATGTGCATTCCAATTATTTTTTTTTTGGTAAAATATTGAGGTCTTTTTACATTACTTTAAATCTTATATTCATTTTTAAAAATGCTGTTACGAATATAAATAATAATTTAGCTGAAAATTATGATAGGAAAAACAAAAAAAAATGTATAAATAGCATTTTATTGAGAATATGGTTTCAATATATGCAAAAATAATAAACTAAAATTTAAAAAATTGTCCAGCTGGTGAAATAAATTATATATTCATATTTCAATCATTTCCTAGCAGCTACTCTGTTCCTCCTCCCTACCAGCAGTGTGTCCTTCAGTTTTTGACATTTTCACCTCTAGTGGACTTACCAAACAATAAGCCAAACTGTATACATTCCAAAACGTTATGCAGAAAATAAAAATTCAAACTCTCCTCGTCTGAGAAATATGGACGAAGTAAGTAGAAAACAGGTGTTATTAGTCGTTAGGAATGCACTGTTTTAAAAGGAAAAAGAATCCCCACCCTTTTCATTATGTACAAATCATTATACCATAAGAATATTCTGACTTCAAAGAATTCTTTCTTTAATATAAAAAGAGCTTGCAACAATGTGCCACACAGTTTGCAAAGAAGCACCTGAAGAAGTACTTCGTCTGCCGACTTTCCAGTTGCAAATTTTCAATTCCCCAAGTAAGTGTTTTATGTTGTTTTAAGTAGTAAAGTCAGTCACTTCCTTCTGCGAATCAAAGAGGATAATTTAAATTTTTAGTCTTTTCTGTTGGTAATTTCAGACCAAAAATAATTTGTTTAAAATTGCTCGATTTTTATTAATTTCAGAATCATAAGTTTCCGTATGTTTGGCTTATTCAAAGGAAATATGTTAAGAACAGAATAATACCATCTCCACCATAAAATCTTTTGTACATCTTACGTTATCATGATGACTTCGTCACAACTGTATCATAAAGATCTAACTTTCTCTCATCTATCTGCAGAACTAATCTGTGTACGTTTCAGCAAGCATGACCAAGTTATTCACCACATTTGTGACAAACCTTTTAATTTTCACAAGCACTCAGGGTTAATTTTATCGCCCATTTTCCTGTCTTTCTTTCGATTCATGTCACACATATTCCTTCAGGCAAGGCGATTATGCAAATTAAATGATGCACAAGAAAGTTAAAGCAAAGTTTACAGCAAAGCCTCCACTTGGACTCAAGAAAACTAAGAAATAAAACTTAACTAACTTAACTAAAGAGACATAGCCGTAGCTATCAAGATTCTACAAGAGTTGGCCCCTTAACGCTAACCAAACAGCGAAGCTATCAAACATAGCGAAAGTTAACTGCAAATCAGCCTTATTGTTCGTAAGTCAGCCCCGATCTTAGTATCATTGACTGATGGCCGCATCAATTCCCTTTACTGCTCGAGGCTGGTCAATGCTGTCTTCTCCTGAGATAAGCTGCGGATAAATCAAATTACCTATCTTTACAAAATTTGATTTCAATATATGCACATATGAAGTGCGTCGCCTATTTATTGGTACATATTATCGCTAATTAATCGACACTACAGATTTGTAAATTTTTTCCTTAGTGAATTTTTTTCTTAGGCCTTCTTTCATTTTTATATTAGTAGCCATTTTGTTAACACGCCAGGAAAAATTAAATAAAGTTGCTGAACTTTCCTTTGTGCTTATATAAGTTGAATTTAGTCAAGAAGGCTACTTGGTGGCATTTAGCAAATAACGCTTAATGGAATGGCGAGCTTACGGAGGGAATTACACAGTTACTTAAACTATCAGTGATGCAAATGCAAATATTTATCAAATAGTAGCACCAATAGTTCAACAAAAGAAATAAGGATTTAAATCCGAAAGGAAACTTGATAAATCTTCTCTTACCATTTATCTTACAACGTTTCTTCGACCAATTCTTATAATCTTCAAATTCGCAACTCAATCTTCAGATACCTAACATCTCCCAAATATGCTTTCCTGTTTTACTCGTTCCTCTGTGATAATGCATTACATGAAACAGACAAAGTAGAGACTAGTAAATGGATTTGTTTATAAATGGATTCAAGTGAGCAATATAGCCTGACAAAATTACGCTATGATCCCAAGGAAATAAGTAATAGATATAGATTCATCAATCTCTTGAGTGTATGTTCCACGTGTAGCAGTTCTACTCAGCAGCCAGCAATTTAATTTATTGTTCTTCGTTTAATTCTGTGCTTAGCGCGTTACAGATTTCATCTCGATTTTTATTTAGACGTTCTTTTAATTTCTAGTAATAAGTATGTTACATAACTAAGGAAGAGTGTGACTGATTTGAGACGACTGAAAACTCAATGAGTTTTCGCCATATTCCCCAATATTTCTACCGAAGTAAGAAAATTAAATAAACTGAAGACGATAATAATAGAAATTAAATTTTGTGCCTGCCGATAAAAAATAATTAATTTAAGACGATTACAACAATTAGAAGGTCGCGTAGGCAATTAATTAAATAAAATCTGACTAAAATCACATTGGAGATAATTACGAGATTCAAAATATACTCCAGTTGTGTTCACCATAATTATAGATATAAATATCATGATTATAGACTGAAATAGAATTACAAATTCAAGTTTAATTATCTGATATATCTTATATTCAACAGTTAATTAAATTTAGATCAAGTGATGTTGATTCCTTCAGTGCCAGTTTTTAAATGGCTGCGGAAACTGGTAGCAAACCTTTTGAAGTCGACATGCACATAATTCAGAAAGCACAAACAAATTTTCCCTTAATATTTATTATTTTTAATCATGTTTCTCTAATAAATTATTTTAGACAGAAATTACAGTCAATGCTTTAAAGATTTTTATGTACCTACGATCGATTTGTGTCCTTTCGTGCTAACTGTAATGAAAATTATTTGGCTAAAACCTGTCATTTTTTCGATCCATGCAATCACTGTTAAATTATAAATCTATCTCAGATTTTTGGATGTTTCTTTTTAAAAACTAGTCATTGTTAATAGAGGCATGTAAAGAAACAACAAAAAAAAATAAATAAATAAATAAATAAATAAAAAATAATAATAAAAAAAAATAAAAAAAAAATTTAAAAAAAAAAAAAAAAAAAAAAAAAAAAAAGCATATTTCAAGGTGTAGAAGTCTTGAAATTAATGATGCAAGTTTGAATTTTCTTTAAATATTTTGGATGAAACTTTATATTCTTTTGGGGTATTTCCAAATTATCGTGATCTGCTATCAGTTTTGCAAAGATAAGAAATTCTAATCTAGAAATGTAAGTCTTAAACTAGATTAATTTTCAAGGTACGACTTCGTTATCTTAAAGATAGCAACAAGACCCATCCATAAATTTCACTGTCCTATCCATAAATTTCGCTACACGGAACTAAAGCTAAACGGAAAGGATATGAAAGCCTAGTTTACATACTGAAACTCAACGGGAACTCAAGAGAAGCGTACATCATTTTATAAATTTTAGTTAACCTGAGACAAAGTTTAAAAATTCTGTTTGACGTAAGTTTGGTTTAATAGTTATTAAGACTAATCCTGTGGACTATTAAACAAAATTTTATAAAATATTTACAGGCTAAAGGAGTAAAAATACGGGTCTTGACTCAGTATCTATTTTAGGATTTGAAATAGTTTTGCAATTCATGTTTTAGAACTGTATACGGATTTGCTCCAATGAATTGAATGAGTACTAATCAATATTTATACCCTGTAACTGAAGTTTGAAATTAATGCAGTACTAACAGGGTAAATTTATCTTCATAGGTTTCTCTAGAAGCAAGGATGGCCGCTCAAGTGATTGCCATTATATCAGCCATTGCGCTAACATTTGGATTCATTGAGTGTGGAAGATGCCCGTATGAAAAATTCACCCCAAATCACAGTTTTTGCAAACCACCAAACCCTAGCTGTAATATCCTAGAACGAGGTGTAGGTGCCGGAGATAGAATGAAAATTTTAAAACTGCACAACGACTACAGAGCCAGAGTTGCAGCCGGTCAAGAAACAGAAGCTGGAGGATTGCCACCAGCAGCAAATATGCTAGAAATGGTAAGAAAGCATCCTAAATAAGTAATATTTTTACCAACCATTAAATTATATGTAAGCAATAGAGTGGTGGTGTAAAACATAATAATATCTTTAAGGAAAATCTCTAAATTTTCATTTCTGAAATCTCATTTTTATGAGCATAATCATAAAAAATATAACCATCAGTATTTGAAATCTGTAAATATCAGAACGTACGATGCAACAAATAAAGAGCAATATAACGTAAATGGCAGATGTATTTTTAAAATATAGGAAACATACGAATTTTAACAAAGGCACTCTTTTAGGTATGGGATGATGAACTTGCTGCTGTTGCTCAAAAGCACGCCGAACAGTGCAATTTCGAGCATGACTGTAGTGACTGTCGCCAAGTTGGTAAGTTTGAGATTCATTTTATGTCTCTTCAAATATTACATTCATTTAAGGGGGCTCATACACCTTAAACCCTTTATGAGCTTCGAATTATGTGACTGTTGCAAGAATTGAGATATTTTATTTATTTGAAAAGTAATTACCTCCAACCTTTTACATCTGACTACATAAAATAGCTGCTTTGGAAACTAGTAACCAGAAAGTTTGTGTTGCCACAAATATTTTTGTAATTTAATCAGCTTTGTGACAAACGTTTTCGTCATTTTTCCACCTTGCGCGCATGATATTTTAAAAATGGCTAATGGTACATACTTGAAATTAGATGGAATTCTTTATATGGGCACTATTTTCTAACTGAACCAAAAATCAGATTAATATTTTAATATTAAAAAATTTTATTCACGAAAACATTACAGATTTTTTTAATAAAATACATTTTATAAAATCAACTCCAAATAAAATAAAAATTTAACATGAAATTCTCAGTTTTTTGGTTTACAGTAGTTTTCAAATGTTATAAAAAGCGATATATAAACTATGGAATTAAATAATGCAACAGATAATTTTAAACTGTGCGCGCAAGGTGAAAAAATGACGAAAATTTTTGTCACAAAGCGGATTAAATTATAAAAATATTTGTGGCAACACAAACTTTCTGTTTACGATTTCAGAAAGCAGTTATATTATGTAGTCAGCCATAAAAAGTCGCAAGTAATTGCTTTTAAAATAAATAAATTATACCAATTCTTGCAACAGTCACATATTCGAAGATCATAAGAGGTTTAAGGTGTATGAGCCCCCTTAAAGCATCTCCTCATATCCGAAGCATTTGGATTTGCGAGCATGAAAAAGTACATCTTAAGCTGTAAGGCTTATCCTATGTTAACAGTTATCTTTAGTTAAAGTTACTTTCCTATCCCTTCTAATTTCAGCCTATAAATTTCCGGCCAGAGTGCGTTTTTAGAATCGCGGTTAAATGCAAATGAAGGAAGAGCAGTATTTAAAGTCGAAGTTCTACTGACTTCGTTAGAGAGCCAGCGATTCTGACTAGCACGCGTTCGCCGTTTGGCTACACTCCCTCTAAGCTATTTCTACGCTCGGCCGTATTTCAGGCCCTTGATAGCTTCTCCGTTTAGTTTGCCTTTGAGGGGCCAACTCCTGTAGAATTGTGATATAAACCAATTTTCTTACCTCATTTAATAACAACCTGTTTTTCACTTATAATCAAATATAAGTTAAATGTTATCTTTTAATCCATACGGAATACTTCATAATTTTATTAAGTTATATGGTCTTGGCTAACATAAACTAAGTGCAAACTTCTAACAGACTTAAAACGAATTATCGCTTCGTCTGGAAAGAACTAGAAAGTCTTGAAAAGATTTAAAAACAAACCTTTTATTATCAGAAATTGAACATAAATGCACGACTCTTTCTCGTGAATTCGCCAACCACTTGCGACGATGTCACTTAAAGTAACATGAAATTCAATTGAAACTATGTCTAATAAACATAGCTACACAAATGATTTAACGGGAAGTAGGCTCAACATTCTCACCGGCGTAACAATTTAAATGTCGGCAATTATAACGCAAAACCGAAGAATACAATTTTAATCTGAGCTCGCTAAAACTAGTAATATGGTCTCGAGCGTTAAAAACACGCTCTGTTGTACAATCCTAAAATCTAACCTCATATTCTGTCGAACTAATTTGCACTCTGGTAGGGAAACGGAAAAAGAAGTGACAGTGTAGATCTAAATCATAAAATAACTGGTTATTCAAATTAATAACAATGTTTATGAGATAATATTATCGATTCATTATTTGTATATATATCAGTTATCCAGTGTAATGCTTTTAAACTATTAAATGAGTAATTTTATGACATTTATTATTTAATATTGAAATTCTATTAGTGCCCTCTGCTAAGTAAAATCGGGAATGTGCATCATAATAGCTTCTACCTAGTTTGGAGAACATGAGAAATATTGTTAGCCAACTTTAATTTCTGTTACTGATATTAAGCTTTAGTTAATTTCTTTCGAATGAACATTACTGCCTAAGAAACACTTAGAAGATTTTATTCCTTCAATAAAACGTTTGGTCATTAATATTCTTATAATTGTCAAAGAACGTGAAAGGCATTGAAATCAATATGATGCATTGGATCTGTAAACTATCCTGCTTAAAATAACTGTGTTTAACCCTTTGGTTACGAATCAAAAATATTACCCTGTTTTCTATCTAAGTGAACAAAATATGTCATAAATAAAGTAAATTTAGCATCTGGGAATTTTCTGGCAAACAGTTTTCAAGCCAATGGCTGAGGCACATATGTACCAGCCGTAGTTAATGGTGGGATTCATATGCCCACACGTAGCGATTGACTTATTACAAGCACACCTATCACTCTGGAAAACTTTATTGTATGAAATAGATTTATATCGTATGGTACAGAGTAAAGCATTTTTTGGGACATATATGTACCGCTAGTAGTCAGAACGTTAAAAAAAACTTGCTTGTTAACGCCATAAAATCATTGATAGTGCTTCTTTATGATTGTAGAATATATTAATATTTATCTTTCTACATAGAGAGGTTTAGAGTTGGCCAAAACATCTACATGGCCATGAATACCGCGCCTCCTAAGAAGCAAGACTGGGACAAAGTGATAAAAGACTTCTACGACGAAGTCTCTACATTCAGCAGAAATTATATCAAACCCTTTGTTTTTGGGTCATACGGACATTTCACTCAGGTAAGAATAAATATTTGTTTTTCAGACACCTGAAGTATCATGCTTTCTTGATAGTACTCTCAAGAATTTAAATGCGATAATTTACATATTATTGAATTTAAAGTATAAAGTTTGTAGAGTCATTAGGATTTTTTGATAGTGGAGACGTCAAAAATGTTCAGTGCCCTCGCCGGGTTTCAAACCTGGACCTCTCGAATACGCCCCGAGTGTGCTACCGTTACACCATGAAGGCTTGCAGAAAGAAGGGGGAAAATATCTTGTATACTTGCCCTTTGGGAAGAGCGACTGCAGTTGCCAAATCCTGGTGGTGAAGAATCATTATCCACCACCTTTTAGTACCACTGTAGAGTCATTAGGTTTCTTTTCTTTTCTTTTTTTTTTTTTTTTTTTTTTTTTTTTTCTTTTTTTTTTTTAAGAAGACATGAAAATTGAGCAAAGACCTCGCCGGGACTCGAACCTGGACCTCTCGAATACGCGTCGAGTGTGCCACCGTTACACCACGAAAGTCTGCAGAATGCAGAAAGCAGGGAGAAGGGGGGACTGGCGATTAGGGGAACCATTCGGTTCAAATCCTGGTGGTGAAGAATCACCATCCACCTTTTAGTTCAGGCGCAGCTGTAGGGTTATTAAGTTATTTTGTTGCTGGAAACATGAAACATGTGCAATGTTCGCCGGAACTCGAACATGGACCTCTCGAATACGCGCCGAGTGTGCGATCGTTACACCACGAAGGCATAGAAAAAGCAATGAGAAAATACCTGATAAGTTCATATAACGTAAGTTACAAATTGCATCATTTTAAGTACCAAATTAAAAATTTTCCACATCACTTTTTATAATGGTTGTTGATTCATAATATATACGATAAAATTTCAAGGGCAAATAGGACCTTGATATATCTTTCTCATTGGAAAAGTCGTGGTTCAGAAAGAAAGTGCTTCTAAAATGGATAATAATAATTCTTCTAAAAGATGTTTCAAACAAGATATTCTACAGGTTCTGAAACAAGACTACGTAAATTATTCTTTAAGTAAAGGTTTTAAAATATAAGAAAAACAATCTTCAGTGGCTACCTGGCAAAATTCCATTAAGCGATGGAAATATACGCAATTTAGTAGCAATCACAAATTTAAATGTAGGCAATTTACCTGCTCTAAAATCCAGGGCAAAACGTGGATGAAAACAAATACACAATTCTTATACTAGACTATCGCTAAAAAGAATTTAATACTCAGAAGAATCTTTTAGGACTTGAGAGTGAAAGTTTTAGGAATTTGGATTATTCTAAAGCAGAGTTTCTTAAACTGGCGGTCGCCAAAAATTTTAACAGTTTTCCTATTTCTTTAACTTATAATAATTTTACAATTACCAAATATTTTTACACAATGTATCTGAAAATAGATAGGACAATAAAGACAAAGAAAAAAAAAACGAAAACGATTCGACGCATTTTTTTTATAATATAAACGTTCATTTTCCTTGTTTTGGATGTCATTTCGTCTGTTACATATTTAAAATTTTCACCTTTTTCTACGTCTTAAAATTAGAAATTAAAGTTAATCACCTAAAACTGCAATAGTATGAGTATATTACAGTACAAGAGAAAAAACTGACAGTTTCACTCACGCGTGTGTTGGATTTGCGCAATACTTATGGGGGTACCACAAAATTTTCGTAAATATTATGGGGCCCTGGGGGTCGCGAAAAAAATCTCAGTGATAAAAAGGGGTCACGACTGAAAAAAAGTTTAAGAAACCCTGATCTAAAGCAATAGACGAGCTAGGATACGAGACGAGAAGGAAGTACATGGAGTAATTTTATTTCATTGCGCTATATACATAGGCTGTTTACGCATTTTTAGAACAATTTCCATAAAGAAGTTTTTTAAAAAAGCAGATGTTTTAATAAAAATTTGTGACAAAAGCTTATTATGAAACTTAAATGGAGGAACATTTTTTAGCTCTCCGAAGAGAAATATTGCAATTTCATAATTCGAAACCGTTGCGAAATAATGGTATTAAAATTTGTCAATGAGGAAGAAGCAGCATTATTAATTATTGCGTGGAAAAGATGTCCTAAGAAACATACGAATATCCAACAACGTAGCAAAAACGTTCTGAAATTCCAAAATACAAAATTAAAGCATGAATTTTATATTCACATAATGGCATTGTTAACGAATTCTAACGTTTAATAAATGAATGCAGAAAGTTATTATTTTTTTATTCTATTTGTATAAAAGTAATTTAATAATATTTTTTCAAAATTGCAGGAAAATAACACTTTTTAAAGTTTACAAGCACTATGTTATGATTAATTTAATTCTTTTAATTTTCTTTATCGTAATAACTTAACTCAATCGCTATCATGGGAAATAAAATGTGCATTTACATTTTAGGCATCTCGAATTTTAAATTTAAAAACTACATTTTTTTCTAAACATAGAACTGTAAATTTTCAGATTATAATAATTATTAAACAATTTTAATCTGAAAAGCTTTATATATGATAAATTTTAATGAAATTCTTTAATTTCTGTTATAAGCAAACATAAACATAAATATTATGTTTCTGATTACGGTCAGGCTATCTTTAGTTCAAAAGAACACTAAAAGAGGTTGTTTCAAATAAAAAAGAAACAACAATTCTAATTAATTTTTTTTAAATGCAATTTAAACCTGTGACTATTGCCTGTCAGATGCCGAGCGGTAAAGTAGCTGAATACTAATAGTCCGATCTGAATTCGATTTCAGACGAACGGAGTAAATGCATTGTCCTTTACGCGGTTTCTCTCATGTGTAATATTTATACGAGCCAGTTTCCCTTAGATAGTCTTCCACGAAGGCAGTCCTTCCTTTAGGCACATAGCTCTTGTGTGCTTTGACATAACCAAATAAACCAAACCGTATTCAGATTAAGAAATACAAATTAGAATATATTTTGAATGGAAATATTATTCGAGATCTAAGCTAGAAAACTATTAAAATTATCTTCTTGAGCTTTTTAATAGTATAACTGTTTTATTATTCTGGTATTAAATTTAGTTACTATCCTGATTATGATTTAAGGCTTAAACGAAACATTTCAATTTCAGTTCAATATTCCGAGTTTGTAATCAGAATTTTAAATGCAAATACAAACAAATTATCAAATTTAATTAAAAGCAAAAATGTATGTATTTTAAATTCATTTTTAATTTAGGTCGTATGGGCTGACACCTGGAAAGTTGGTTGCGGTTATGTACTTTACAAGGATCCACAGTGGTATAATAGTTTCTTCGTCTGCAACTACGGACCTGCGTAAGAAACTTTATGCATTCCATAATGCTAAATATCATTAATTTAAGCATAAATAAAGCACAAAAGGTGTTATAATTATATAGATAAATAATTTTACTGAACCATAAATATATTGTTATTGTTTTGATAATACAATTGATCTTCATATCTTTTCGTCTTCTTTGCTTTGTTTTGTCATAGTAGAGCATAACGTTGATTGCCTAATAGTGTAGCGATTACTCTTACGCATTTTAATGTCTAAATTGCAATCGAGCATAATTAGTAATGAACATAATAATGCAAAAGAAATTCATAAGAGTTTTCCGGAAGGACCTTTTTTCCATCAATATTACCGAGATATGTGCTTTAGAATATAAAGTTTCTAAAAATAATGCTTGAATTATAATTCTTAATGTATTTTAATGCTTGAATTATATGGGTGGAAAGTCATGAAAAAATGAAATCCAGTTTTTACTTCCTTGTATAGTAAAGAAAATATTGTAATCACGAAAAATTCCGGGTACTGTAGTTCAACGAAATAGTTCATTTTGACCGCTGTCGAATGCAGTTTAACAATACTTTTGCATAACATCTGTACGTAAGGACAAAATAAAGGTCTCTTTTATCCTAAACAGATTAAAAAATGGATTTAAAATAATTCAAAAGAGATTTTTTTCGTGATTTCTGTACGTACGTATCTATATGCATTAGCCAAAAACAAGTAGCCGCAGAGCGTAGAAATTTCGTATATAAGACTGCTATAACATGCAGTTGTGCACCTCTCTTTTTGGTTGCAATCGGCCTCACCAAATATATATATATATACTCATTCTGTTATTCGGCTCAGTGAGCTCAATATTTTTTATTCTTATATCTGGTAAATTGTGCATTTTTTTTTTTTTTTTTTTTTTTTTTGCATTAAAAATTATTGAATTATTTTGTTCTCATCCTCCGGTTAAGGTTTTTTATGCCTTTAGTTCGTCTGCATGCAATAGTTGTAGAATTATCAACAATTTAAAAGTTGATTAAGTACGGCTAAGTCTATTTTTTTTTAACTATAGCATCCGCCTTTGCTTACATTTGAAACATAGCAGAATAGTCAGAATAGTGAATTAAGTCTTCCTGCACATTCAATGCTTTTTTGCCGAGCGGACCAAAAGAAACCTTACGGGTGGATTACTACGTTATTCAAAATTCTATGTAAAAATTTTATGTATTATGTTTATTTAAAATATGTCACTAGATATCGTTGCTTTTTCACAAAGCGAGAAACATACACACACATTCATGCAAATTCTTCATTATTTAGTTTCTTTAAATATAATACAGGGCGATACTATTAGGTGGCAACAATTTGAAAAGTGAAAGATACATCACATTTAGATGATCCCACTCAAAATGCCGTTTCGAGACTAATAGCCTTTCTGGCTATCGCCCCTTTGGGCTTATAAAATTCCAACATTAGGGTACTTTTTCTAATTTTGCGCTAGACATTTATTAGTTTAGAAACATAACTTATGATTTTGATGTCTTTCAGAGGCAACTGGATGGACGGTGAAATGTACAAAGCCGGAAGAACGTGCTCTGCTTGTCCTGAAGGCAGTTGTTGCGGAGCCGATTGCAGCAGGAAATATAATGTGATACCTAAATACTCAAAACTTTGCAGTAAGATGCTATTATTTCTTTTCAGTCTCTTTCGTTTTTACTTTCCTTCAAATAATATATTGCAAGTCAACCGAACGAATAACGAATTATTACTATAAAACAACGAATTATTCTTATGAAAATAAAAGTGCTACAAATTCCAAAGAAACAGCAATAATATCAACAGAAATATTATGCAGTTATAATGGATATTCGTTGTTTAATTGCAACTAATTTAATCACTGGGTAACTTCCCTGGACACATACACAAAATTTTGTTGTCTGCGACTTAAAATGTAGTAACACAAAGGGGTAAGAACGACTGTAAAAATAAACTAAAACAATTAATTGCATTTCTGCTTGAAATTACTAATACTAAACTGTTACCAGAGATTTTACATCTGTTTCTTACTGGGCGATAACGTTATAACATCCCAACTATTTGCACAGCAAATATCAAGTTAAGGACCTAATTATGTTCCTATGCTAGTGTGCCTCCTAATCTAAATATAAGCAAAGCTAAAACTCGCGAGCTATCAAGTACAGTAAGCGAGGAGGCAGAATCTAGATTTACAGTGCTCCTGGCAGAAGTTACTAATACATTCTCTCTAAACATAGAGTCTTCTTCTTTATTCAAACTGCTTTAATTTGCATTTCTGACGGAGTTGACTACAAATAGAAGTTAAGGAAAGATTTAACATAAGAAAACAGCTTATTTATTAAAACAAAACTTATAATAATGAAACGCTGAAGTACCTTTCCAATGACACTTCAAGGCTAATCTTTAGAATATTGTAACAGGTAGTTTGGCGACATTTTGGTAAGGCGATAAAGGTTACTAGCTAGGACTTTAGCAATAATCTGAGAAGTACACAGTTCGAATCACAAATTATTTTGTCTCAGAGAAATGAGAGATAATTTTCCGGAAAATTCCAATGGGTATTTTAGCTGATAAGCACTTAGAAACAATTTCGCTGATTAAGTGCAGAATCCCCTACTTATTTGTTTGGCGCTTTTTACAAGAATAAGAAGAATTGGATTTTTGTCAATTTTCTTTGACTTTTTAAGTGAAAATAGATCAATGTGTACAGGGATAAAGTCAAGAGTGTGCGCAAAAACGCGGCAAGCAGTGGCCGATTCTACACTTTCTCCCAATTTCGCACCTAATCTTCGTCATGTTTAAGCACTTTTGTTCCATGAAAGTTCTAGCATAAGCGTAATTCGGCTAGCAGATTGTTAAAAAAAAATGTTGAGTAAAAAAAAAAAAAAAAAAAAAAATTCTTTACTTCATAAAAACAAAATGGCGTCCAAAAAAAAAAACAACTAGCAGGTTGCTGTAGCAGGGTTGGAAGCCAAAGTTTCGCCAAAAAATCGCCAAGTTACCATAATGTAAAGATTCACCCACTTCAACAGCTATAAAAACACATTATCATTTATTATTTATGGTATTTTTCCGTGGACGTGCACTAAAAGGAATATAACAAATTAAGATGATTTAGAGAAACTTCAGAACTTGTTAGTTATTTCGAAATTACAGTGGATTTATAAAATACGAGAAATCCAGATCTAGAAGCTCATTTAGTTTAAAAGAATTTGTCCTATCTGATAAATTTATTAAATTTCATTTTAAGGTACTTAGTATATCTTGCTTTTACGCACTGAAAAATAGCCCACTCCCTTTGTTCGGCGCAGTTATTTATTAATGCTAACAATACTGACGCAGTGTAATTTAATTTTTAACTTTAAAAGAATAGATTTATCTGCGTGTTAAATTCATGGTTTAAATGTTGTAATCGACTTTCTGAAACCATCCGGGTCTCGAAAAATTAGAAAAGAAATAACTTCTAGCTTATAGTAATATCTAGTTAATATTCGATTTGAAGTAATCAATATTAATGTACAAATATGCGTATAAATTGTGTTTCTGAAATTGGAACTTACCTTCCAAATAAATAGAGAGTAATTCTTCTGGCCAACAGCACTAAATTCCTAACGGCATATACACTCATGTCCATAAATTAAGGATAATTCGGAGTCACGCGGAAATCGAACTCTAAAATAAATATATCACCTGTAAAATCACTACACATATCTTCAATAATCATATGCAAATTTCAGGAAGTAACCAGATGACACCGATGGTACGTCACAATGACAAGAGTGTAAGAGGGTGATATATAAGGAATACAGGCAAAGAAGTAAAATTGTTCGTAGGCGCTTTATAAGCATTTCAGTGTAATAACCGAATAGTTATGACACAAAGGACGCATTTGGATGATTTTTTACGTGGTAGAATTATCGGCCGCTGGAATGTTGGCATACCCCAACTGGAAGTATCAGACGAACTTGGAATTGCCCAGAGTGTCATCTCTAGGCTTTCGCAACGATTCCGAGGTGATGGTAATGTGAGTAGACGTTACAGCACAGGTCGTCCCAGAGATAGAACGCCGAATGAGGACCAGTATTTGGCAGTTAATGCCAAAAGAAACAGGTGGAGCACAGCCTCAGACCTCTCTCGTCAGCTCTCTTCAGCCACTGGTACGACAGTTTCAAGGCAGACCGTGTACAGACACTCAGGGTAGATTGGTCTATATGCTCGTTGACTTGTCAGATGCGTTCACTTACTGCAACTCACTGTCGCCTGCGGTTAGCCTGGAGTAGAGAGCATGCATTGTGGGCACCGCAACAGTGGGCTTGTGTGATGTTTTCCGACGAGTCCAGGTTTAGCTTGCAGTCTGATTCTCGCCGGATTTTCATATGGAGAGCTCCAGATACCCGTTACCACCAAGAAAACATCATTGAACGACACCGTTACGGTGGTGTAGGAGTGCTCGTTGGGGGTGGAATTATTCTCGGTTCCAGAATTGACCTGCATGTCAAATTGGAACCATGACAAGCCAAATTTATTGGGACGTCATTCTGGAACAATACGTACGTTTGTTTCGGGCGCCGTGAGCGCACAATTTGTGTTTATGGATGACAACGCCCGTCCTCACCGTGCAAACATCGTAAGCGAATGCCTTCAATGGGAGGATATCACCCGTAAGGACTGGCCAGCATTCTCACCGGACTTGAATCCAGTAGAGCACTTGCGAGACATGCTTAGCCGACGAGTTGCAGCCCGTCAACCTCCTCCTCCATGTCTACCGGAACTCCGGAGAGCATTGCTTTTTGAGTGGTGTAATATCCCCCAAGATCAGATCGATAATTTGATACTCAGCATGCCTAGGCGTTGTACGGACTGTATTGCATCGTCTGGAAGACACACAATGTATTAACAATCATACTAACCATGTAATATTGGTTTTTTGTAAATAGGTTTGTTTTGTAATTTGCTCCAGGGAGAAAAAATCGCTAATTTTTTTAATAATTTCGAACATCTAGCATCTTTTTTGCTCTTTACCTTTTGTTTAATAAATAAGCTTTACAAATAAGTCAAATTTGTTTTGCTTCTAACTCTTCCTTTGCCTGATTTTGCATTATCCTTAATTTATGGACACGAGTGTATTTGAAGTATAATCCGAACTTATCAATAAACATTAGTGAAGATTTTAGACTGTATTTTTTTAAATTTAAATTAAGATTTGTAAGTTTTTGTACATATAAATTAAATTTATACTTCTAAATCTGCAAGTTTTTCTTGTGGATATTAAATTATTTTTAAATAAAATAAGCAAGAAAAAACGTAATTTGTTATTTTATTTTAGCAAAACAAGAATCTTAGTCAACTCTACAGGTATCTTCGAAATTACTCTGATAAAATAATTATGGCTTATATTGCTCAGTTACCAAAAATTATATCTTATTTTAAGTGTTTTCATCTATAGCTTGTTTTATTACTTATACATCCTATATTACATTTACTAAAATTAAAGTTACATGTCTGAGATAGTGTATCACCATTTTTATTTATTTTTTATTATTTTCCGCTTTTACTCTGTAATAATAATTCATTATTTATTATTAATCCTTTAACATAAACGTTTATTTCCATTTCAGTGATGGTAAAAGGTAACTAAATCAAAAAGTGGTATGAAGAATTTCGGGAATCAACAAAGCAGGTAATTCATTAAAGTAAATATTTATGCGATGCTGCTTACCTTTTCTCACGTTCTTATTATAATAAAGGGATTGTTGCTTTGCTTCCTAGAAATAACTTAGAGAAAATACATGGAGCATCTGCTTTATAGAACATTCCTCTCTATTAGATATTTTGCATTTATATAGGCATTATATCGATAAATAATTCTGCAGCCAGCTTCAGCAGGTGTTATTCTAAGAAGTAAAGAGTTAATACTGTTGTTATTCGTGAATCAAAAATTTGATAACCAAAGATGTATTGCGCATGCAAGATCCGTGTACACTTGATATGGCACGTTATGGTTTTTTTGTTCTTGTTTGGTTAAAAATGCTATTTCTTGTCACCTTTTTAAGTCTTATTTTCCACGTCACCGTTCTACAAAACTCTTTTATTTTTTTATCAAGATAAATTTTTGCTTTTGAAATTGACCTTAGAAATGTTTTTTACTGTTCTTCGTCAGTTGTTAAGACCTATTTAGAAGCCGCCTACTTATTGCACTCAAGAATGTTCGCCCTAAAAAAATTCTTCTGACTCCCCTAGTCTCTTATATGAAAATTATAACACTCTTTCAGACGAGAAGTAATTCCCATTCCAATGCCAGCTGAAAGACGCTGGAAGAATTCCTACTTCTCATCTTTTTAAGTGAACTTTGCTTTGTATAATCCCAGTACTCTAAGCAAAAAAAAAGGAAAGGAACATATCTCCCGTTCTACTGGACCGATTGACGAGATTCAAATTGCATTTTTCATATACCGAAAGTGCGACTTAGGATATATATTAGATTTATTTATAGCTTTATTCGACACAAAATAGGACTTCTTTTTAAATAACATGCCAATTTGTTTTCCATATTTCGATTGTACGACTCAAATAATTTTAAATTTTGTAAAATTTGGAGCGAAATTTTTGGAGAATTTCAAAAATTTATCTTGGAGTATTTTTTTCAGTTTGCGCCAAAAATGGCGAACTTCTTAATTTATGGCAACCTATTTTTCTTTCCCTTTTTCCATTGTGAATGAAAAAAGAAAAATTCACATCGTTCTTACTTTCAAAGAATTTTAATAAAATGCGTAAAACATATTAGATGTAATTACCTATTTCAACAAATATCCAAATTTCAAAACGCTCCAATATATAAATTCACGCATATCTTCAGAAATTTTGAATAAAAAGCTCTAATGTTTTGCAGGTATGCTTAGAAATACATCTACTTTAAGACGATGGTAAACGTTTTATTGGTTATAATGCAAAATATTTTTCGAAAAATTTATAAAAATTATTTAAGAAATTTTATCATAAAAAAATGGGCGAATTTGATTTGGAATGAACCTAAAGTTCGAACTGTCAAACAAGGAATCAAGTAAATGAAATGAAAAAGAGATATTAGTAATTACATACCAAAGAGAATTAACACTGAGCAGGTAAAATTTTGATAGCTAATTTTTAAAAAAAAAATTCGTGCGATTTTTACTAAATTTGGCAGTTTTTCATAATTTGAATCGTAGAATCGAAATATGGCAAAAAACTGGCATGTCTTTTCATTAAAAAGTCCAATTTTGTGTCAAAATACCTACATTAGGACAATATATAAATCTAATACATATTCTAAGTCGCGCTATATATAAATCTAATATATGCTATATATATATACATAATATATACATAATGCTATATACATAATATATACATAATATATATATAAATCTAATACATATTCTAAGTCGCGCTTTCGAGACAGGGAAAACGCAATTTGAATTTGTCAATCGGTCCAGTAGAACGAGACATATACAACTGCCCCCCCCCCTTGTTTTTCGTGGGGTGTACAACCCTACTCTGGAAAGAGCGGGACCAGTTAGGCCATAAATCTCCTCTTTTCATTTTCGTCTTATTTTGGGGGTTCGAAAACACGAAGCGATGAATCTTTCTCGACGGTAACTATCCAAGCCACATTGAACCCCGAAGAATGGGGTTTCATTGTTTACGCCAGACTATACTTTTTAAATCGGCAAATCTGTCTCTAATGAAACGGTTAATGCAGTCAAAAATAATTCCCTGCAAGTTTTGAAGGATTTCACAAAAACGACTCTAGCGTTCGTAATTGAGCAGTCTCTTGTGCCTTATAAACGGTATGTACAATCACTACAGTATTGTTAAACATGTCCAGTATTGTACATTATACCACAGCAGTGTACAACCACTGCAGTAATTAGAACGAAACTACGGGTTTTTTAAGACAGTCTCACACTAACTTCTCATTTACATAGAGGGTTTTAAAACATTTATCCAGGATTGGATAGAAATGCTGGCATGAGTGTATTGCAGTTGGAAGGGATTACTTTGAAGAGAATGTAACAAATATTGACTTTAAATTGAAGTCTTGTGTATTATGAAATCACTGCCAATACTTTTTTTTATTACAGATGTCATCTGAACAAAATACGGAACAATTTGGGAATAATACCTTGTGTAAACAGAATTTTAGTTTTTTTCACTGATATATTTAGTCAAATTATTAATAAAATTAGCAGTGATTTATTAAGCGTATTAAATATGAGGTTCCAGGAAATACGTTGCTGTTTACGAGAGTAACTTTTTAAAGTCTTAAAATTTTATCGAGTACTCATTATCAACAATATTTTTATGTTACTAAAACAACGCTTTAAGGTATAAATAATGTTGTTATATAACATTCTATTATAAAACTAGACAATACCAGTAGGGGAAAATTAGTATTATACATAATATTAAAAGTTTTGGCCCAACCGATATAGTGATTAGCGATGTTGGCTGCCATATCGTTGTGCTTAGGTTCTTGTTCCGAAAAAGGCTTGAATGTTTATAAGTGTATACTGGCTGTTTGGCGTGGAGAGAGCCGGAATTCCTTTCGAGAAGCTTGATGGTAGAGGAAGAGGGGTGAGAAATCATTCTCCCCTCTTCCTGTACCATCAAGGTAATTCAGTCTGAGGTACTCAATTCAATCTGAAGTGCTCTCCATCAAAATTTTGGCAGGATTTCCCTTTTCAGACGAATGTAATTTGGCCGCTCTCTGACTTGTACACTGGGCAACGTTCTTGGTAATCAGACACCTAAATGACTAATGGGTATTAATCACTCTTTGCTTTCATTAAATTGAAGTGTCCGACCATTTGGAACAACAACAATATTACTAGGAAAACTGTAAAATGTGGTTTATAATTTTCAAGTATTTTAAATTTTTCTTTAGTTAAGGTTCCTATACAACATTTTTATATGAATAAAACTTTAGTGGTTTTCAGGTTATCTATATATATATTTTTTTGTTAATACATTTTTGCATATATAATTAACAATTAATAATTTTATTTTTTATTTTTATGAACGTTAGTTGATTTCTTTATTCCTTATATAGATAAATAAATATATTCTGAAACATTTTTGTGCATTTTTATTTCAGATTGGAAGGTTCAATTTTCAGATACAAAGGAATATCAAATACAAAGGTTCTGAATATTTATTCAAAACTAAATGAAGCGAAATTTATCATCAATCATATTTTTGAAGTTAGTCTCCATTAAGCTGTTTGCTTCCATATTGAATTACTCTTCCTCTAATATAAGGTTTCTGGATTCATATGATGTATAGGTAGTAAATTAGTAGCAACACTGCACAGTTGAGCACTGCAATATGTAGTACCGATATCGTACAAATATTATTTAAGGATATCTTCTTGCATTCAAAATAAATCTGCCTTTGATAATGAACTTCTGAAATTTTTCATTTCTGGAATCTAATGGATGCATGATTGGAATATGGATAACGGTTGCTTTTGTTTTCTTCTTGAAAATGTGAGCTGCATTGTAAATCTTTACAAAAGTTGAAAAACTTTGTAATAAAATTGCATGTAGATTTATGTCTGTGACTCTTTCTTTCTTAGGGCTGTAACATAACACAGTTCTGTGGCTTGATAATTAAGTTAAATAAAATGTAGTTTATCGCAAAACTTTCGTGACCTCGAATTTACATTAATATTTTATGAAAGGGAATACCTATCGAAAACAACCGAAATTTGCATTTATAAAAAATGAAATTCTGAAAAGTATTTAACGCTATTATTTAGATCAAGATTAATATTTAATTGAACAATGTTTTTACAATTAATTTGTATTCACATACACCATGCCCACAATATTATTCACAAGCGCCATAGCCACAACACCACGCAAACAATAATAATATTATTCATTCATATACACGATGCCCACAATATATTCACGCCCACAAGTCAATATTCGACCTTCATTTTTGCAGACCTTCGTTCTAAACACATACTTCTAATTCGAAAATATTTTAACTGAGGCATTTTAAATTAAAAAAAAAAAAAAAATCTGCCTAAAATACAAAACCTAGTGAGGGTGTGTACACTTTTCTAGAACGGTTTCGGAGACATTTAACTAGTAATATTTTAAATGTAATGAGTATTTTATTGTTCGGTCTGAGAGAATTTTTTCTGGACTATAAGTACGCATCGTAATTTCCACGAAATAAGGGCTTTTCGTTAAATTTCCAGGAACACTGATTTTCCATTCCTCTTCCACTACTTTTCAGAGTCCATCAACTGCGGCGGGTTCACGCTTAGAATGTTAGACCACCAAAGACCACAACTGGGGGGGGGGTCTTAAGCCCCGACGTAGCCAGAAGGCAGAACACGCTCTACTGAAAACTTATAAACACTTCTACGGAAGTGGCAGAGACTTTCCCTTAAATGCTGGCTGTACCTCATTTACATAAAGCGCAGTCCTGAAAACTCCTTCTCATTGGAAATTCTAGGTGTGGAAACAAGAGAATAAAGAAAGCTGTTTAAAATCAAAAATAACTATTAGGAAATTAAAATAACCCCTAAAATGCAATACCTGTATCACTCTTCATTTTTTCAAGGAATGCAGTGGTACTTTTCGAAATATGACTTTCTGCTTTGTCTTGATGAAGTTTTATGCTTTGAGAGTCATTGGGATAAAGAAATGGAATTTCTTCAGTAAACTTTGTACGCAAAACTTTCCCTTGATAGTACGTTGATTTGATTTTAACATTTTTGTTCTCCATTGTAAGAGAATTCTGCGACAATCATAAACTCCTCACCGAAACATTCTTTGCATTGACGGAGCTAGGTTTGTACAATTTTTTCTCTTCGTTTTAGATAATAAACAGCCTTTTTTGGAATAGTCATTTAAATAAACCCATACTTCATCAAGGGTCACAATGTATTTCCATTTATATCCTGCTAATATAGTTCTCATAGCCTCGACAAAAGTCGGTGACCATCTTGTTTTTTTAGCTTTTTTAAGTACAAATCTTAGTTTATTGTTGCTACTGATGTATTTATAAAGACTTTGCAATTGATTTCTCGTCAGGCAGATTTTCTCTTGTTACCAGCGATTTAACTTTAGAAACATTAGAAACAATTCGTAACTTTTCCAGGCGCCTCGTTTGGAGTTTTGTTTTCGTGTAGAATTTCGTGTAGAAAGTTTTTTCGATAGCTTCTAAATATTTAAATTTTCCCACTAAAAATTTGTTGCAGTTTGTAAAGTAATTATGATTTTTCGATGTCAGGAAACTGAAGAAATCCGCAATAACGTCTTCAGAATCCGAATTCCAGACCTCCCGATTCGAATGTGTTTCCATATGCCCACTTTAGGTGTCCACTAAGCTCACTGACGTTCAGTCGCCACTTCCAGTTACACACATCCATTGTGCTTCCATTTACACACAGATGCATGCAGAAAGAAGGGAGAAAACACCTTACAAGAGTATATTTCCGCTTTCAAAGGGTGACTGGGAATTAGGGGACACAATTGCCAAGTCTTGGTGATGAAGAATCGTCCATTACTTTTTACTTTCGGCGCCACTTTTAGAATAAAAGTTTTAGAATTTTTCGAAGTCAGGGAACTGAAGAAACCTGCAATGCCCTCCCCGGACTTCGAAACCGGACCTCCCGACTCCGACCTCGAGTGCGCTTCCAGTTACACCTTGAAGGCATTAGGAAAGGGGAGAGAAAATCCCTTAGTTCGAGACTTCCTTGCAAGTTTCTTGGAAGAAATACTAGTAAGATGCTCAACTTTCCTCGAAGGCATGCTAGTAAAGTGCGTTTAATAAGATGCGTTAACATTTTCACGAACTTCTATATTTACTTTCACATTTGCATTTACGTAGAAATTATTTTGATACATTCATTTCTTTCATTTCTCCAGCTTAATGTGTGTAACAGTTATGTATTCAATTTTTATCTCAACTTCTAACTGCGTAAGTTAAGTAGACACTCTAGACTGCAAAGACAGCCTAATCCAAAATCTAGGCAGATTTTTTTATTCAGTATGCCTTAATATCAAAGAAGAGCGCTTTCTAGAGCGCCTACGCACCTTCCAATAATATACAATTTCATATATGCAAAGCACACTGCTCGTACTAGCTGCCATTGGATTTACAGTCCTCATTACTTCAAGATAGTCTGGATACTCCTAAAAAACAAAGTTTTATGTATTTAACCATTGTGATAACGCACAAAATAAACTTTGCATTTCAGAATTCTCATATTGAAGAATATCTTAGCTACTATTTAAAACTTAAATCCCCATTTGATGTAAAACTCAGTGATTAGCAAGTTGTAGAAAAGTACAGAAAATGAATAACATTTCATTTAAACAGCAAATAAAAAAAGTAGACTTACATTTGGATTGTAGCAAAGTTAGCTACTGTAGTTGTACTGGGTGGTTATCTCGGTCGCTTCATATGCAAAATAGCTTGAAGTAGTTAACCTACTCTAGACTGGTTTCTTTCGTGGAAAATTTCTGCTGTTAACTGGGCTGCTTAGTCTGTGTGTTAGGACTAATGCTATCGTTGGACCCTTTACGTCCTTCATCGCTGACTGCTTGGCTTTTCCTTTTCCTCCTGCCAGTCAGTCACTGAGCCGGTGTAGTGATTTGAGACGCTGACTACCATACCGATGGATGCGGGTTCGAATCTTGGAAAAGGATGTTTATTAGCACAGTCTATAAGCGCATAGTCAAAGGGGCACTCAAAATACACGACGAGATAAAAATCCTTCCCAGAGGTTAATGGTAGGTGAAGAGAGTGTGAAACTTTTCGACAGTCCCCCCCCCCGAATTTTTGGTGTCCCGCTAGCTTCTACTTGTACCTGTCTTCGGAATTTTTGAAGCTGCAATTTGGTTCGAATCTGGTTCTGATCCTAAGATATTTAAGGTAAAGGTACTTCTACCTAATGTTCCTAATATTTGATGCAAGCAATATCTTTTCCAACCATTTTGAACCAATTTTCGATAGAACATCTTTCTGTCTCTCGGTAATTTTTTGAAAGCAACATCTCTAGTCAAATACACGGCTGGCCATTAAAATTGCAACACCATGAAGGAAAGCAAATACAAAAAAGATATTTATTTCACGTAAACAGAATGGCATGAAGACAGAATGATTAAATTTGTAAACATTTTGGATGTTTACAGCGAAATTAGTAGAAACAGCTGCCACCCCTGGCAGCTAAAACGGCTCTTACCCCATTAGGCATGGAGTCAAACTGGACTTGGATGACAGAAAGGGGCAACTCATTCCATGCTCCTTCCAGTCTATGCCACACTTCATTGACCGTATTAGCTGGAGAGGGATGGCAGGCCTGTCTCTCAGCTACCCATGACCAGATGATTTCAATGAGGACGGATCAGGTCAACATTCGAATACCCTGTGTATCAAGGAAGGTCAGAACACGACGTGCAACATGTGGTCTTGCATTATTTTATTGGAACATGGCGTTTGGGGGTCTTAGATAGGACACAACCACTGGACGTAAGATGTCAGAAACTTACCCATCTGCGTTTAAATTGCCGTCGATCCGAACTAGTGATGTGCGTTTAATGGCTGCCCAAACCATCATAACAGGTGCAGGGCTTCTATGCCAATATCGAATGCAAGCACCCTCAGCAATCGATTGATTGCATATTCGCAAGACAGTGGTTGGCTGTGGACCAGTGTGACCGGCTATATCAAGGGACGATAATTATTATTCGAGGCAGCACACGATATTCTGAGCAAACTCCAACCTTACAAAGTGCTTTTTCGAATAAGAAATCCACTAGACAACTTTTCTTTTATGCAGTGCCTTAAATGTCATTTCTTCCTCCTACGTCGCCTAAATGCGCTACAATACTAATCATTTGCATATCCCAGCCTCTTCTTCCTTTCATGCGATTTTGACTTTGTCAGATCATTCCTTCCTGCAGTTGAAATTTTAATGGCCAATAGTGTATATGCCCGGATAAGATTCTAAACATTCTAAAACATTCTAAAAATATGACACATTACATTTTAAGTATAAACATGCGTTATATATTCCTTTAGTTGAACATATCCTGTTTTTTCGCTTTAGAACACAAGAAATACGATTGTAAACCATAGATTTTTGTTACTGTTTATTACATAAATATTAAAGAAACTAACATCCATAATCCATAATAATAGGCTCTAGAGTAGAACCCGAAGATACTTGGAATTTATGTTCATACATATTGTTCCAGTCATATCCTGATGCTACAAAACTGAAGAGAACATTTTTTTTATCCTTTTATTAGCTAATCAATTTACTAAACAGCATCTGAAAGTTGGGATAAGTTTTTTGTCAAGGGAACTGAAGATAACAATTAGAAGAATCCTTGGACAGAAGGAAATTAAGAAAATGGATTTATCAAATCAGAAGAAAGAAAAACATTTAGTCTGTTCCTACCTTGTAAGGAGAGAAAAACAGCATAAAAATGCTTGGAATGCAAGGAGCCAGTGTGTCTTCCGTGCTCTCAAAAAATGTGTTTTGACTGTATATCATTTTGTGATTCAAACTTGTAAGCAAAGATATACTAATCTATTATTTATTAATGATTAAATTCACTGTTGTAGATTTATGGTTTAATTGACAGTAATACTTAATAAAGTTGCATATTTTTCTGCATTTTTAATAAAATCTTCGTTCTTTAAAAACTTTGTTCCTTAAAACGAAGAAAATAGTCATATTTTTAATATTAATTTAACTGCGTAAAATCAAATAATTTATGTTTAAAATATATTGATTTAAACGAATTAGAATTCTATAAATATGCATAAAGTATCTATAACATTCCTTAAAAAGGCATAAAAGTATTTTTATGCGTTTCTTTAAAGCGGTATGTGAGACCGCTCACAGTAATTACGCCGAAAAATTGTCACAGCAGTTAAAGGTTAAAGAATATGCATATCGTGAATAAAAATGGCAAAGCGAAGTTAAAAAAGAATAAGTCGTCAAGTTATGCTTTGACATACAATTACTCTTCAATCGCTTCTCATCAATTTCATAGGTCCTCCTCCTCTCCAGAAGCTGAATCTTCAAATTTTGACATCTTCTCGTTCGGCGGTTTTTATCAACAATGGGACAAAACATATTATATCTTCAACCAAACTGTGCAGAAGATCGGAATCCGAAATTATATCATCAAGAAATGTGGCTGAATTCAAAAGGACACAGCTGTTGGCGTTTAGGAATGCGAAATTTTGCGAAAACAAAGACACGTCTTGCCTCTCCTCTCATTATGTGCAAATCATTTATTGCAACATCATAGCATCAACATACTTTTGATAGCGCAGAAATTTAATATAAAATACATCTTCAAGTACATGCAAACACAATTCGCGAACAAGTTCTTTCATCGTCGTTTTTCCTCCATTTGCGGCTTTTCAATTTCGCGAGCCAAGTGAGTAATCTTATATAGAAATATTTGATATATATTGCGTTAGAAAACACCAACGATTTATCAGAAAGGAAAGTTTCAGTTATCTAATGGTAATAAAAGAAACCCATTTATCTTGTAATTAATCTTGTAAGTCGAGAGGTATAATTTTTTTTCTAATTACTATTAGTGCATAATATGGACGTATGAGTCTGCATTATTACCAGTTTAAGTTGCTATTAGTGTTTGCATAATGTAAACGCAACATGTATACGTGCACAGTTTAGTTAACCTAACTTGCAATTTGTTTTGATTCGTGATTTGTAACGTGTAAGCATTTGTACATATTTCATCTTTATGTCTATCTATATCTGCTTCTATATCCTGTCCTGATTATATTTGTATGCCTAACATACATTCTAATAGTGAAAAAAAAATTGTGTTGAATTAGCAAAAGTGCGTAGCATATTACCAGTTGGCAAAGTTCTTGGTAATGTAGCATCGGCATCATCATTTTTTTTTAATTTAATTGTATAACTAGCAGTACGCATTACAACTAAGTGTACATTGTCACATAGTCGTAATGCGTACTGCCAGTACCTCCTTGCAAGAAACAGCAACTTTGCATTACTCAAGACAAATGATCAACAGCATTTTCCGTTAATTTCAACAGTCCCCACTATATATTTCCCCTTAGTCTCCATCATGTACTTTCTTTCTATGCTCTGGTCCTTCTTTCAGTGTCCTCATAGTCCTCACCTTATGTAGTCAATTCCCGAAAGACATAGTCGTAAGCTATAATTTCTTTTTTAATTCCGTCGACGGTATCTAAAAGGCTTAAGAACACCTAACCCAGTGGACCAGTTGTTCTATTCGATGACGAAAAGAAAAGAAAGATAGGTATAATTTAAATCATTGGCGTTTTAAAAATTATACTCATGGTTATTCATGAATGGTTTAACTTTCAATGCTCCGGATTGGAGGCATTCATGAAAATTAATTTAATTAATTTTTCCTGATTAATTTTTCTTATTGACTAATGGAAAAAAGGCTGTTATAGTTCGGCTTAGTTTATTATGGCAAAGCACACTAAGGCTATTTGCCTAAGGGGGTTGCCTTCGTGGAGGAGTTTGTAAGGAAAACTGGCTCGTATAAACGTTGCACATGGGGAAAACCACGAAATTTCCCATGCTGCCAGCCCGTTCGTCTAGATTCGAATCCAGTCGGAACTACCAATGATCAGCATTTTTACCGCTGGGCCGCTAGTGGGTCCAGAAGAAGGGGAGCAACAGGTATTAAGGTAGTCTTTTAATTAAAACCTTGTAAGCTGAAGCTTAGCAAAACCGCAACTGCTACTACCAGTTTATGTATATGTGTAATAAACTCATAACAGTAGTTGAAGTTCTCAATTATGTCACTTCGTTGACATTTTGACTTATCTTTCATACTGCACGGTCTGTAAAACAATGGTCTGATAGTCTGTGACCAGTTTGCTGATTTTAGTTTCAAAACAAATACTGTTCTTTACTCTTAAACAAATTAAAATGTTAGGTGTTGGAAGTATTTTTATTCATCTGTAACTTAATTAGTTTACTCTGTTTAGTTTACGTTCTTTTAAAGTTTCAGGAAAACTTTTAACTTAAATACTAGTCTTGGAGCAGAATAACTTAAATACTAGTCTTGAAGGAAGTGCTACACCCATTTCAGCTCCGCAATAAAATTTTGCAGAAAATTATCAAATGGAATTTGACTTTTCAAATTGTTGCTACCAAACATTAGAGCCCAGTATTATATTTAAAGAAATTACATAATGAATAATTTGCAATTTTTTCACAATGCGAGTGTTTCTCGCATTGTGAAAAAACGCATGTAGGTACCTAGAAACATCAAATTTTGAATAACGTAATCCTCCATTCAAATATGAGTATCTGGAAGACCAAATCTGGAATTTGTTTTATTATCTGTTTCATATTTTGTAAAACGTTAATGAATTTTTGATTAACTAACTCAATGATTTCAAAGCCTCCCATTAACATTAACATCGCGACATAATAACATATCTCAAATTTAAAATTTGAAATTACAGTTTAATATTGAATATTTTTTCCATCGATTTTTTATGTAAAGAAAACTTCTTTTGGCCATAATATAAAACCTCTTTTCCATTAGAAATAATTGCAATAATTCCGTAAATGCTATTACATAGATTATATGCATCAATTCACGTTTTTTCTTGCATTCCATCCTAAACATCAGAGTGTTCCACAAGCATACACAGTACTGCATATAATACCATCTTTACCTCAGGTGTGTATATAAAAAAAATAGTAAACTGTAAACCATAGCAAAAAAATGCCCATAAACGCTTATAAACTAAAATCACAACAATAAACTTGAATCTTGGGTTTTTGATCTAAACAGAGTCTTACTGTCTTTAAGAACTGAATATAGATTATAATATCAAGAAAATGTATATCTGAGAAATTTTATAACTAAGAGAAAAAAATGGTATGACAACGAAATTACTGTGGTTCTTTTTAATTGAAAAATGCTTTATATCATTGTGAGAAAAATGTTTACTTTAATATTTTAGCAATCATCTATGAAGAAAATCTAACAGCAAAAGTTTTCTAATCATGCAATTCTTGAATCAAAGAATACTTTTATTCATAATAATCTTGATAATGATGAAGAAATAGTAATATCATTTCACCGAAACTCATGAATATCATTTGTTGTGTAATACTGCTCAATGATATCGTAAATAATATCAGATATTGCATTAAGTTATGAAGACATCTGTAACAAATTACAAGGAAACTGACGAACGTAGACCATACATTTTTATCTGATTTCTAACAGACGTGAGGCAAGAAAGGCATTGAATATATTTTATTTTGCGATTGAGTCGATATTGATACTTTATGATTTCCACCAGGGTTTCTTAATCTTTTTCAGTCACCCCTAGGACCCCTAGGACCCCATAATATTTACAAAAATTTTGTGAAACCCCATAAGTATTGCTCAAATTCGACACACGCGTGAGCTAAGCTGTCAGTTTTTGCACTTGTACTGAAATATACTATTGCAGTTTTAGGTGGCGAACCTGCTGCAGGTCCCGCAGTTTAAGAAACCCTCATTTACACACTCTTGAGAGTTGGATAAATTTCAATTTCGTGATATTAATTTTAATTTGGGTTTGATTAATATTTATATAGCTGTTAAGAATTGTTTTGAATTATATATAAAAAAAGAATTCATTTTGAAACTGTGACTACACAAACTTTCTTTGAGGTTCAGTTGCTTTTTAAACTTTAACAATTGCTCTCGTTTTTCATGATTAAATATTCAGAAGATTTTTTTTCAAACTGCACAAATAAGTAGCTGCTATAATTAATCATAGTCGCTGGTCACTTTTGTTTATGTACGTTTTAAGATGTGAGTGATCGATTTTGTACCACAATATAATATATGAAATGATAAAGTTTAAATTGAATGCTAAAATGAAATTCCCCATTTTTATCTTTACAGAGTTTGAAATCAAAATGGCTACCAATTTTATAGCCATTTTGTCAGCTTTTCTGCTGGTTTTTGGATTCATTGAATGTGGAAGGTGTCCTTATGAGAAATTCACTCCAAATCACAGTTTTTGCAAATCACCAAATCCTAGTTGCAACATCCTAGAAAGAGGCGTTGGTGCTAGAGATAGGCAACGCATTTTGAGACTGCACAACAAATACAGAGTCAAAGTAGCTGCAGGCAAAGAGACTCAAGCAGGTGGACTGCCGCAAGCTGCAAACATGTTAGAAATGGTAAGAAAACTAATGTTAGAAATGTAAACTAATTTAAAGACCTATTTGAGCAACAGAAAAATCCCCTTAAAAGCATTTTAATTTCATTGAGATTATCTTTTAAACGACAAACTTTTATCTGTATAAATTCTAAAAAATGGATATGAAGTTTACTGTTGTTATCAATCCATGATTTTAACAATATTTGGAAATTGTTACTTATGTACCCAACCACCTTGGTAGAAGTCACCAAATTTTCAAAATGTGCCAAACTTTAACACCCATGCTCAAGACCATTCTTCCGGCAACCGTACTCATGACGATTCTTCATTCAAGCAACTCTGCTATTTGCGTATGCGTTCTATTTTGTTGTATACTAACTTCCAGCGGTTTTTACTAAACAAATCGTGATATTTTTTTCCTTAAACTTACTTTTAAAATATGAGCTTGTGGAATTTGCCAGTAATGAAAGAAACTGTGGTAAAAGTTCTGCGAGAATAAGGACTTTTGCTTAAAATTTTCTAAAGGGAACAGCCAGGAAATGCGTTTCCTCAATAGCCCTTGTTGCCAAGGGTTGCACGAAACCGAGTCTCCGCAATTCTGTGATATTTTTGTTCTGTGTGTTTTGAGAGAAGAATAGCGCAAAAAAAATTTCAGAGAGATTTGAAGAAGAATGCAAGTGTTTTATTTTTAATGCATCAAGTAATCCTTAATTAATAATTCAAATTTTTACTTTTAATTACTAAAGTATGTTTTCTTTTTATACCTTGATAATGTTTACAGACTTTCGATAAATATTGATAGTTTATGAATCTTCCTAAAAACCAAAAGGTTCGAAAACCACCATCTTGCACCCTATAAGTAACTTTTACCTTCTCAAGTGTAAAATATCGCCAAATTGCGCTAAGGGGCTTGCGTTAATACATATGTATCTGCAAATTTAATTTGAGTGTAATAAAAATGGTATACCATATAATTACGAATATTAGCCCAAATTTATATAAACGGATATTTAAGGTTTTGCCACAAAATATTCAGCCTAAATTGAAAGCTCATATATAAGAAGAATTTAAATTGCCCTAGTAATACAACTATATTGTAAGAATTATTTTAATTTTATTAACAATTAAATTTTGAGTTAAAGTTCCTTTCCTGTCGATTCTTCAACTTACTACTTCCGGCCAGAACGTAGTTTTAGAATCACTTCTGAATACATAATGAGGAAGAGCGGTATTTAACCACGAAGTTCTTCGGTCTGGTCTTAGGCCCTTTACTGAGAAATGTCTTCTTCGTACTTTAGGCCCTTGATAGCTTCGCAGTCTATTAACGTTAAGGGACTGACTCTGTTAGAATTTTGATAGCTTCGGCTATACTTCTTTAGTTTTAGTATTATTCTTAGTCTCTTAAGTTCAAAGCCCAAGTGTCGGCTTTATCGTACACTCCAAGACGGAGTTTTGTTAAACCTTAGTTGGAATAATAAAGGGTTAGTTACACTTCTGTCTTGCTGTTTGTCTTCTGTCTTGTTGTCACGCGAACTCAAGCAATTATTCGCTTATCAGTTCTTAAGATTCTTCACTTCCAACAGTAGCTTATAATTTACAAAGTGAGGAAATTCTGATAACCGGTCGTCTAATTTAAGGAGATCCATCAGCAAGGCTGCAGATGAGTACCAAATGTTCAGCCATTTGAAAAATGGTCAGAAATGTTGTCCAGTCGTTCGAAAAGTGTTGCGCCAACAAACTGCGGAAATGCAAAAATAAATTACCTTTTAAACTTTTCATCTGTAAATATAGGTCAGAAATGACGTTCAATCGTTCCAAAAGTGCTGCGTCGCTGTAGCCAGAAATGAGGATAATATTATCTACCAAAAGATATCTTAATGGTGAAATAGGGGACGAAATTCAATCGGATTTCGCTATAGCACGGAGTGATTCCCAAGAATTTTCAGAAAATTTCAACCTGGTACGGATACTGAGAAATGTGATTAATGCATATTAAAACTAAATAAAATTTCCAAAAAGTATTTTTTGAGTTAATTTGAATTTTTTGTGATCGAATTAATTTTAAGTTATTACGAACTCTATCCGATGTTACATGAAACTTGAAATACAGAAATTTTCTAGGTTTGGGATGATGAACTCGCGGCTGTTGCACAAAAACACGCTGAGCAATGCCAGCCCGGACATGATTGTAGTGAATGTCGTCAAGTTGGTAAGTCAAATGTTAGAATCATATCACTTTAAAATTAGCACAAAAATGAAAAGTTCGGATATGGATCACTTAATTTTACAGCGTTTCATATTTGTCGAAGGCGGTGATACGACTAGAATAATTCTGATGGCGTATTCATTCCTATTTCGTGGATGCAACAGATTGATCAAAGGCACAAATTAAGTACTTTTCTCATCTCTTAGTTCAATCCAAGTGAGTGAACAGTAAATTAACACACAAAATAAGCTTTCATTTAAAATTCTGAGTTTAGATTTTCCTGGACTGGGAAACAAATAAGTTAATAGCATATAGATAGTTTATTGTATGATTTTAAAGTTAAACCTACTCAACTACACCTATTTAACCTTCTATTTCTAGGACGGATTTTTATCTTCGCTTTTAATTCATAAAATTTTCTGCAACAGAAGTCAGAATAGAAACGGAAGGTAAACTTTAGCCTAAAAATTTAGTGGAAAAAATGCTACTTCTTGTATTACAACTAAAATTATCAATTCAATAACCATCACTATTGGCATAGTTTAAATTTTTAAGATATTTAAATACACTCAACACAAAAGTAACTTTCTGAAATTCACTAACTCGGCTTCAACTGTTGCGAACTCTAGTCATTTCCATAATCCATCACTTACCATAGCTCTTTCGACAAACTTAAAATTTCTCTCGCTATTTAAACTCAACCTAATATGTACTCTTGTGATGGCTAATTGAAGAAACAGGAAATACAATAGAAAATAAATATAAAATTAGTTTATTAGCTAAAACAAACCTTGCATATTCACAGACTTTGAAAACAATATTTTCAGTCATGTTATTTTTATATCAGTCTTTGTACTGGCAATGAGATTCATTTAGTCAGGAATCCAAAACTCTATTATCTTCATTATCCTATCTCCATTATCTATTATCACATTACTCTTCATGATCCTGCTAAGTTTTGACTCATTTCTGAAATCGTTATAACTATTTCGACCTTTCAACTGCTTAAAGTGATGGTGTTAAGTGGCTGCTATAACCGTTACTAATTATTGTGAAATGCATAAATATTTCTATTTCTATACAGACAGGTTTAGAGTTGGACAAAATTTCTACTTAGCCATGAATTATTCGCCTCCTAAGAAGCAAGACTGGGACATGGTAATGAAAGCCTTTTATGATGAAGTTTCTACATTCGACAAAAGCTATATCAAACCTTTCGTTTTTGGGTCATATGGCCATTTCACCCAGGTAAACACAACAAATATTTTTTTTAAGTTGCAATATGATTTTGTTTTCAAATAATACCATTAAACTTTAACCGAAAGGTACCATAAGCAAGCGACATATTTTTAATCTGTCTAAAAGATTTGGGACATTATTTTGTGGGATAAAAAGGACTACTATTTGTAGATTATATGCTGCATAATTCTACGAAAACAAATATTTATATCATAAACATTTACTCAGTTCTGACAAATCCTGAAAATAAAACGCTGTTGCAAATTGAGAAGAAACATGTGCCAGAAACCTCTTCAGTACCAACAGTTCTTGAACAGTGACTGTTTTAGGAGAGTGTTGACAAAGCGCAATTTCATTTAAGAGCTATTAACTACTCAATAGTTTTTAAACGGCTTGTAAGAAGACACAATTAAACTGATTATCTTCATGGCCATATTCTCTACAGATGCTAATAATTGATGAATGAGTAATGAAAGTTGATTTAGTTTCTCTTATGTAAAAACTAATACTTTAGTATGTACAGGCACTCAAAATAATCGGAATAATAATACCAGAAGCGACAGTTTCCTAATTATGAATTCTAATGCTAGGCCTCGTTTTCTTTGAATTTTCGACGTCTAACTCCTACGTGGCATCAGTCTGAGTTCTATACAGTCTGAGTCCTACGTGGCATCAGTCTGAGTACAGAGGTTATTCATCACATTTTTGTGTTTCAGCTCGAAGAGTTGAGTTATTCGTAGTCGTTATTCGTAGTCGTTATTCGTGCAAAGAATACAGAATGTGCATGAAATTTTGTTTTTTGTTCTGGAAAACTGCAGCTGAGACACTTACTATGCTTTGGCAAGTCTGTAAAGGTGAGTTTTTTGGGGGAGGAGAAGGAATATCTTTCCCCTATTATATTAATTCGTGTATTTGTTTTCCTAAATCTGGAAAAACTGGGTAGCGCCATTTATGTTTATGCTGGAGACGTGAAAAAGGAGCAATGTCCTCTCTAGACTCAAACCTGGACCTCTCGAATATGCACCGTATGTGCTACCATTCCTCGAGTATGCCTCAAAGTATACTGAAAGGAAGGAAAAAATATCTTATAACTGCATGTTTTTTTTTTTTTTTTTTTTCTTGAAATTCTTCGGTTGCTATTGCTACAAAAACTTTAGTCTAAAATAAAAGTTTGGTTCTTTGCATCATAGTTAGTTTACCTTTCGAAAGCAAGGCTAACATTTTTCCGAACACAAAGATAAATGCAGTAATATTTGTCTTTTGTTTTCTTTAATTTACCTTCATTATTTGTGTATTATTTATTGAATGTAAGGATTAGTTTCGAAGTAATAGTTAGAATAAATGCTTATAAGTCGAAAAGTATTTGTTTTTACCAGGAAGAACTTGGTTTCATTTTAAAAGGAAGACTTTCGTTTCGTTTATTGCTTAAAGTCCGAATCACGTGAATTATAATGAGCCATATGACCGCAAATTGGATAGAAAAAACGTTTTGTACGCTTGAATTTGCAAAAAAAAGTTTGTTATTCTCGTACGCCTTAATTTTATAATATGGTATAGTTAAAAATCTTCCTTGGCATTAGGCTGGCCATATAACACAATAAAATATGATTCTGAAGTAAACTATTGGTCATCAAGAAATCCAGATTTAACATCCTGTGACTATTTCTTGTAGGAGGAGGATACATCAAGGACTGAGTTTCCTTTCTCCTCTTCCTAGGAGTTCAGACTATCTTAAACAAACAATCACATCAGCTATTGTAATTGTTGACATGGACATACTGAGATATGTTTGTGAATAATAGCTTAGCGCATTGATATTTGTCATTTTATAAAACAGTGAGACGAAGAACATTTGTAACTTAGTTTTTTAAACTTTAGAACATACTCTTCTAACCGTGCGAGTATTTAAGACGTGCTTTGAAAATTCTTGCTTCTGTAATTTTTGAAGATGTCTACTTCTTTTACGCTGGTTCTGTTTTGTTTATTATAGGTTTGATTTTATTAGTAAGTAAATAAGAACTCAAATTCTTCATCAGTTTGAATTGAAATAAAAGTACTTATTGCTCTGTTTTAATCTATGTTAAAGAAACAAAATACTGCAAGATTAAACATTATTGTACCCTGCATTTGTTTAGTTTGAGTGTTTGAATTTTTCATTTCCTATAATTTGATTAATTTTCTTTATATTCCTATAATTTTATTAATTTGGTTTAAAACCAAAATTAAAAAACTTTTCTTAAAATAAACAGGAAATGAACTAGATTTTTAAGATAGAATATAGATTGTAAGATCTGATAAATGAATCACGCAAAACTTAAATAAATTATTATTTTGCTTAGGTTGTTTGGGCTTCCTCCTGGAAAGTAGGATGCGGTTATGTGCTTTATAAGGATACAGAGTGGTACAATAGTTTCTACGTCTGCAACTACGGACCTGCGTAAGGAAATTTTCTTTATTCCACGAAGTTAAATTTCATTAGTTTAAGCTTAGAATAAAAAAAGTGAACTTAGGAGTTTATTATTTGACTATGCTTACGACTATCTGCATAAAGAGAGGCATATATTCGTGGAGAAATTTCTAAGAGAAACAGGCCTTTGTGTACGTTACATGTAGGAAAATCTAGGAAGCTAACCTCGAAACTAATTTGAACTCAGATCGAACTAACGGCCCACTAGTGGCCAAGCGGTAAAGAAGTCGCTGAACATTGGTAGTTCGGTTCAGGGTTCAAATGCCAACAAATGCGCAGTCTACATGGGTGTTTTTGTGGTTTTCTTATGTGTAACAGGTACCTCTCTTCCTCATTATGTATTCAGACGTGATTCTAAAACTGCGTTCTGGCCGGAAGTAGTAAGTTGAAGTTAAGAATCGACAGGAAAGGAACTCAAAATTTAACTGTTAATAAAATTAACATAATCCTTACAAATTAATTGATATAAGTATAAAAAAAACTGATGTAAATATTTTCAGTAGTTAGTTTTAAAAATTCTTTTAAGTAATAAGTATTTACTTAGATAGCAATGTTTCACAATTTTGATAAAAATATTGACACACTTGTTTAAAAATAACGAATCACTGTAATAATGATGTACTGGGAGCTTGAATTAATTCTCGTTGTTGTTTCAGTGAGGGCAATAGTTCTACTAGTGAAGCATAGCGGACAGCCACACGGGACACATTTAATGGTAGAATCATTAGGTTTTCAGATATGTGTGTGACTTTCGAGTAGAGTGAAAAGACACCATACCTATTTAGTACCTTGAATATATCGGGTTTCGTATCTACAAAACAGCATTTGCGGAATGCGTTGCTCTACACCTTTCATCTCAAGAAATCTGCTGAATAACATTATCGTTTGCTGGTGGAAGCGTATGGAGAACATACTCTGTCGCGAACAAACTGAAGAGATTGGGTTCGACGATTTTAAGACAAGATTTCGAGGTGAGTGACAAAATGCAACCTGGTTAGTCGAAAATGTTTGATGATGGATAGTTAGAGACATTAGGGAATTCATCTCAGATCCTTGTATAGTTGTCTGAAACCTAAATATGGATACATCAACTGTTAGTAAGCACTTAAATGAAATAGGGATAATTCAGAAATTGAGAAACAAGGTGTCACCTCAATGGACAAAAAAAAGACGTTGCGAAACGCTTAACCATTTGTGAATTATTATTTCAAATACAAAACCGGAAGTCATGGGCACATAGTGGCGAACCGTCAACATCAACGTCAAGCCAGATTAATGGCAAAAAGATTATGCTGTTCATTTGGTGGGATTAAGTCGATATGGTGGGCCGCCCAACCGGTATAGTGGTTAGCGTTGCTGACTGCCGAGCCGAAGGGCACGAGTTCGAATGCCGGAGAAGGCATGGATGCTTACAAATGTATAGTGTCGGTGCGGTATGACGACAGTCCAAACATGCGGTGAGCCTCTCGTGTGGTTTATTGGAAAGGGAGAAGGTGGTAAACCCTCGTACCCGTCCCCCCTGGCGCTCTCCATCAAAATTGGAGGCGGAACTATGCTAAATCACACTGTCACCTGAATGGTGCTCAAGGCTGTGGCCAAAGGCTGACGAATCTAGCTCTCTTTGCCAAGAGGAATTTCGTGGGCTTCGGCTGACTACGTCATACAAGTGAGCATAAGCAACAACAGCAACAACTGGGTATGGTTGTTGTTGCTTATACTCACTTGTTTTCAATTTCTGAATCTTCCCCATTGCTTTTAAACGCTTGCTAACAGTTGAAGCATCTACATGCAGAATAACCTTTTTGCCGATGCTTCACATATTTTAACGATCTGGAAAACTGGCTCAATGAGTGCATCACTTCAAAATAAAAATAAAAAAATAAAATAAAATAAATAAACAAAGCTTGAATTTTTTTATCACGGAATCGGTTTATTACCCGAAAAATGAAAAAGGTTGTAGCTGCCGAGCGACATTGCGTTCAGTAAATTATCTTATACCATTATATTAAAATAAACATGTGATCAACAAACAGCGAGAATTGGAGCTATCTAATATATCAAAATTCGGTTAAACGGCAACCTTTTAAGTGAAGAAAATCTATCTGGTATTTTGGGTATTTGGTTGTATTTTTTATGGTGTTTAACTGATTACTCCAAATCACGCAAGGGTTATCTGCTAAAAAAGGCAACGTAGGCTTCGTACATTGTAACAGAATTAGCTCAAACTCCGAAAATGTAAATTGGCCTGTTAGCTGGGTTTGAATCTGTGTCGAACATTGAAATTCAGCATCTCATGTCTTATCCACTCTACCACTGGAAACACTGCCCCCCCCCCAAGATTTTGTTGAGGGTAACCCGTTGAGATACATCCCGATAATTCAAAGATCACGTGACTTATGTACAGCTAATGTTAACAAACAATGTAGATAACCTCAGAGATCACGGGACTTAGATATTAGTTAATGTAAATTAATAAGGTCATTCTTCCTCTTTTTCTCTTGAGGGACGTATCTCGTTACATGGAATGTATATTTAGTTGTCAGTATTCAGAAAAATTCCTAAACTAATGGAAAACTTGTTTTAGTGAGTACTCTTTAATTCCCATTTAAAGATCTTAGTATAAAATTATTTGTGATAAAATGTTATCTGAAAACATTTCAACATTATATATTGATAAATAGTAAAATCAGTATTCAGTTGTGTAAAGTTTAATGAACCAGTTTTTATAATTACTTGCTTTAAAATATTTTCTTATTATGAATTGACTTTTACCTAAAACAATAAATTCAAAGTAAAGCAATAAACAGTAAACTAAAAGTGAATTTTGTATTTGAATGCAGTAATGTCTCTAAAGCTCAATTAGTATGTTATTTGATTTCTTTATTAGAGTAGACTAGCACATATGATAGAAAATGAAAACGAAGTGAAAAAAATTCTATCTACTCTTAATTCTTTCGTTCTTTCTGTGATTTCTTACAGAGGGAACTGGTTTGATGGAGAAATGTATAAAGTAGGCAAAACTTGCTCTGCTTGCCCCGAAGGTTCCTGCTGTGGTGCTGAATGCAGCCAAAAATATGATGTGATACCTAAATATTCAAAACTCTGCAGTAAGATATTATTTATTTCACTCTGATCTTTAATTTTACTTTCCATATACGTCAAATAATATGCGTTTTATACGTGGAAAACCAATCCCGGAATGAATTGAAAACAAATGCGTAGATTTACAAAAGACACCATAGAATTCAAATACGTTTTTACTTCTTTGTATTAAAGGAAGTACTGAAATCGGGAAAAATTTCGGGCACCGTTATTTCAACGAAAATATCCATTTGACCTCTGTCGATTCTATTTGAAAGATGTTTTTGAGTTACATCTGTACGTACGAACAGAATAAAGAACTTTCCAAAACGGATTGTGAAATGGATTTTAAATGGATTCAGAAGAGATTTTTCGTGACATCTGTACGTATATACATACGTGCCGTACGTATGTATGTATCTTGCATAACTAAAAAACGAGTAGCCTCAGAACGTTGTCGAGTGGAGCCAAAAGTGCATAAAATTCTGTCTTTCTGCCTAATTTTAATTAACTTTAATTTTAATTGTAAAAAAGTTTTTTAACGATTTTGAACTCTAGTTGGTGTTTTAGATTTTTCTGTATTTTACAATTTTGAAGGAAGATGTTTTGAGGTTTTATATATTTTATCTTTGCCGCGAAGTGAAAACTGAATTGATTGAATGAAAAATACATCTCTAATGAATTTTGGGGAAATAAGTTTAAATGAAATGTAACCAAAAGTGTGCATAATTTAATAGGCCGTACAAGGAAGTCGTGTGGTGCCCACATCAGATTTTTGATATTACTATGTTCAATGAGTGACATTACAACAAGGTAGTTGTAATAGTAGAAGTAGCATATAACGGAAAAGGCAAAAATAGCACATCTTTTGCAGTGGCACTACACTATAATAAACTGTGGAACAATGGAATGTTCCACAGTTATAACACTTTTTCATTAATTAATCGTCATGGCCACTCGAAGCCACGACTTCTCTACACGCTCTAGCTCACAATCTCATGTCACAATTCTCAAGAGCTAAGCGCATGCGTAGACGCTAGCAATAAGAGCGCGCAGGCGCAACATCGCCCGCCGGACATGAGTAATCATCAAAACTAAATTTACAATGAATCTTAATAGTGTCACAATACAAAATACATGTAGATAATGGTAAATATCAAATAATAACATCAAACTGCTATACTAAGAAATACATTATTGATACAAACATATTTTGCAGGTAAAAACAAAACTTTATAATTGATCTCTGAAAAATACGCTTTCGTTTCACTGAAAAATACTCTACCTTGTCTGACTAAGAATATCTCTAGATTTTCCAAGAGCCATTACAAGAACATTATCAGTCTTTAAAATTACCATAGTTCAACCTTGACATCATCTTTTCAGAGAACCATTAGTTTATCGCATTGCCTCAAATAATATTTTTCATTACTTCCATAGGTTTGCACTATTTAGTCAATTTTGCCAGCTCTTATTACACCTTTACGTTTAAATTAGTTGCAATAGCGTGATAGGTCTGCCTATCAGGAGGGACTGTGTCAAGATATCAAATCTTGGTTCGGATGATAAAGGATGAAAGGGCCAGAAATCAAATGCCTTCAATTGAGCAATCAAAAGTGTTGTTAAGGGGGAAACCCTCGTAGGTTAGTCTCAAATGCCTACTACGCGTCAAATGAAATAACAGATTTGACACCTGCTCCAAAGACATACATGATTGGGCTCTAGGAGGAATGAAAGACCAATCAATACTCTCACTCGATAAATAATTACCTAATTCGTTATCTGGTTCGCTGACTAGCCAATTCAATTTCTTTAATTCTACGTTACTACCAACAAAATTGGTTGCGTTATCTGAAAATATGTATGCACACTTGCCTCTCCTATTGAAAAAAACGCTTTAAGGTTTCAATAAATGCTTGACTAGACAGGTCTGTTACCAACTCAAGATGGCAAGCTTTGGTAACAAAACAAACGAAAATGCACACATACATCTTGTTAAAACGACCTTTTCTCTGACGTGGGTATTTTATAAAATTAAATGGAATTAAATTAAATAAAACACAATTAAATGGAAAATTCGGGCTGACTTTTCTTGACGGAGTTGACCCGTAAGTTGTTGACAGGGAACTGGTTTAAAACCAGTAAACCTTTAAAGCATACGACACACTCATGTACTAGTTTTCTGCAAATGTTCTGCCCGTTCAAGGGCAAAACTTTTGTCTAACAATAGACAGTAAGCCTTGTGAACGAATATGCATGTATTTCTGTATTTTTTCTTTCATGTATGAAACATCACAATAATTACATTAGTCAACTTATGATTCTTTGGTAAGATTATAGGAAATTTTCTATCAAAATTCAACCTACAATTAGTTAATCTGCTTCCAACTCGTAAAATTCCATATTGATCTAAAAATGGGGAAAAGTACTTCTTACCTTGCTATCTGGAGGTACCTTACCCTCCTTTTCAAGGCTTGAGATTTCTTTTTTAAATTCACTATCTTGAATTAGCTTAATCAGTTTATGTTCAGCTAATTTTAATTCTGAGCTCTGAAGAGGACCTGAAACCTTGTTCTTTCCCTTGCAGTTGTTTACAAACCTAAAAATAAAACTGAAAACACGAATAATTTTAGTGTAATTGTTACACAAATTTAAGAAATCCTCAATGAAAGGGTGAGCTTTCACATTAAGAAAAATATTTGAGTCACTAAGGATTTTAAGTTCGTTTGGAAAGTCCTTCACAATGACTTCCACCGGAATCTTTCTATTTGGATACTCGCCGTTTCTCAGGAACAGACAGCCTTTCCACCACATATCATTTTGTAGAAGTTTAGTGGGGTCCACACCTCGGGATATAAGATCACTCGGATTCTCCTTTGATGACGCATGACGCCACTGATGATCATTAGTCAAGTCTTGAATTGTTGCCACTCGATTTGCAACAAACGTCTTCAATTGGTAAGGCTCCTTTTGTATCCACGAAAGCACGATCATGGAGTCACTCCACAGGATACACTTTGTTCACAGGAATCTCTAATGCAGATAATACTCTAACAATTAACTTTGCAAGTAGGACTGGCGCACAAAGCTCCAATCTCGGGATTGTAACTCGTTTTACAGGTTTACAGGAAAATTTTACTGGTTTTAATTCGCTATGGAAAAGTTTTACTGGTTTTAATTCCCTATGGAAAATAATACTGGTTTTAATTCCCTATGGAAAATAATACTGGTTTCAATTCCCTATGTGCAGAATTTGGGCCTGTTTAAGAGAGATCAATTTCTTTGTCTGGTGTTATTTCACTTAATTTTAGCCGTAAATTAGGATCACCTTTTAATTTTGTTCTGTATTTATTTTTCAAATAAAATGGGGAAGAAAATCCTCGTTCACACAAATAGGTTGTGTAAAAAGGGCATTAAAATTGTAAAAGCTTTATTTGAAATGCCTTTCGGTTCAACCAAAAGTTAACATATGTGTTATTTTTGAAATCTTCAATTAGAGTTCGATCGCCGAAAATTTCTATCAGCTGTTCGTTGTCTTCACGAGATAACATTTGAGGTACATTTTGGATTTCTTATCCAACCTTCTTTAACATAATCCTCTGTAAAATACATGCTGAAATTATTTATCAATGAAAAACAACGATTTTTCTCCTTTTCTTTTCAAATTATTTTCGGTTAGAAACCTTCCTAAAAGGGGTAAAAATCTTAAAATATTATAATCGAATTCCTTAATTATTAGCTCTAGTTCTCTTATCGTCTCATTTATTTTATCTCTAATGGTAAATAAATTAACCCTTTGTCCTTGTAATCCTAAATTTAATTCGTTTAACTTTCTAAAAATATCAGCTAAATATGCTAATCACGCCAACAATAATTCACTAAACATTTTTGCAATTCAGATTTTGAATCACAGAGGAGAATTTGAATTTCTGATTGACATTCAGCGATTTAAAACTTTGGATAACCACCTTACTTCGGAATATAACAAAAGAATTTCATATTTACTGCTCATCTCTTGGCATAAAATCGTAAATATACTTGAATTTAAAGCTCGGCTTTTAATAAAACTGACAACTTTCACAGCTTGATTTGAAACGATTTTCAGTTTTTCGGAGATTGTTTTTAGTCAATTTAGTTTTCAGGTGCGACTTTCTTTATTTGAGAACTAATACTGGAATGTTTTCCTGTTAAATCCCGAACTTCGTCACTGCATACAGCAATGCACTTATTCCAAGAAATATCTTTCTCAGACATAAAATTGTCGACTACTTTGCAAATTTCATTTGCAGTTGCTCTATCATGAAGCGATTCACAAAATAAATACTCTTCGTTAATTCGTTAATCTGCTTCGAAACGTATGTAAACTAATAATTGAACAAAGTTACTAGTACTTTCATCCAACTGCAATGCGAAATACTCACTCAGTTTTATTTTTTGAATAAGTGTCTCTTTTATGGAATTTGCCATTTCATAAATTAGTCGATTTATTGCACCATTTGTTAACGAAATATTATTAAGTTCGTTAGCCACTTTCTTGGTGAATACTATTAAAACGATATCCTTATATAATATAATATAAGGTTTTCTATAATAGTGGGAGCCTGCTCAGTCTTGGCAACTCTTAGGCTTACCAGGCAACTAGCTTCCAAAGCTTTTTCACTTGAAATAACAAAACCTTTCATTGTATGTTTACTATTTTTGTACTCCGATAATTTTCTCTTCAAATATTCTTCAGATTTATCTTTAAAATTGTCATACTTAGATTCAAGATGTCTTTTATGGAACTATGGTTTCATAATTTGATTGGATAACAGTTCCCGCAAACAACACATTGAGGCAGAAGGTCCATTTCATCTCCATTCCAAGTAAACCCAATTGATAAATAACTTTCATTGCATTTTTCTATAAGTATTTTTTCTTTTTTTTTTTCAATATTCTTACGTTAGTAGATTGTTCTGGATCCATCACCTGTGAGTCATCACATTTCTGCTTAGTCAAAGCTTTCCATTTTGAAAAACTGGTATGTTTATTATTTTTTCACAAATATTTAAATGCACAATATATTACGAGTTCTTCAAATGATGATATTCTCAAATCGTATTGAAACGTAAGAAATACAAAGCAACAAGAAGACAAATATAGCTTCTGTTAGAGACAGCAAAGCGACGTAAAACATGCATTCTAACTAAAAATAGAGCAGTATGAGCTATGAAATGGTGGCGGCATAAAGTGTAGACATGCTAATTAATCGAACAACTATAAAAGAATTAATGAGATATTATTATCGTTTTATAGGAACAAAAATATCATTGGTGACAAATTTTGTTATGTCTATGGCTAAGAGAATATTTGTGAAAGTAAACACAGATTATTTTGCTAAAGTCTATGAGCGGCTATTGACTTTGAACAAAGCTCAGATCGCATAAATTGATGAATGTTAGAAAAAGGACAACATCCTGGTATTTCATTTTTGAATTTAACAGTTAAAAATGCTTTGTTTCTTTGCGTACCGCCTATTTTTCTCTTGTGCACCACCAGTGGTACAAGTACCATCGGTTGAGAATCGCTGATCTGGAGAGATTAGTATTGTGTTAGGAAAGGAGAGACACAAGATCCTCTAATTCAGTTCTCTGGGATGCTCAAGATCAAAAGTGGAATAGAGCTTATATACATATTCCTCATAATCTATGCTTAAATTAAATAATCCAGTTAATCAAACTCATCTCCCTGAACGCTATTTCCCATACCACTTTCAGGCAAGATTGTATATTCCAAGCTATATACTCTGCAATGACTTCGAAGACTTCAGTTTAGACTAGCGGTTCTCAACCGTTTGACAGCCATCTAAACAAAAATTAATTGACCATCTAAACAAAAATTGAAAGTACCATCACATAAATTTACGAGTGTTAGAGAAAAACCTTAATGAGGAGGATGTTGGGGTTTTTATTTTTGAATTTAATAGTTAAAAATATCTTGCTTCTTTGCGTACCACCTTTTTTTCTCATACATACCACCAGTGGTACGCGTACCACCGGTTGAGAACCCTTGGTTTAGACCCTTTGCTACTCACTTCCGTCATTCTCTTCTGTTGAAATTTGAGTCTCTGTTTTTCGAATGCTATATTTGTCTAGCCATTGCTGTTGCTAATCTGAAGCACTGAAGATCTTTTTTTCCCTTCTTTCTGCATGCGTGTTCGAGTTCCAACGAGGACACTGTATATTTTTCAAGTCTCCTGCTTCAAAAAACCTAATGACTCTAAAACGTTTTATCGGAAAATGAAAAATAACCAAATATTTCATGTAAAAGCTTAATTGCTATTGAATGTTAAATGTTTTTCCCCAAATACCTTTTTTCACTTCGATTAAAAAATGAGTACTTTTTTACAGCAGTTTCCATGAAAATTGAGATGTTCCTCGGAGACAGAAAATACTAAGGTGCATTTGATGAAACTAACTAATATTTACAAGTGGTTATATTTCACAGTGAAATCTAGGAAGGGATTTATAGCGACATTGGCCGCGTTTATGCACACTAATTTTCTCAACTAGCTTATACACACTAGCTTTTATATTCGTGAGATTACGAGAAAATTAAGTAAATAATGCCCTCAGTAGATTGTACATATCTTTTCACTTTGCTCACGTAAGTTGTCAAGATCTTCTTTCAATCTAATCTGTCTTCAGTTTTTCGTCTTCCAAATAGAGAGACTTAAATAAATATTTTCAAATTTCTGTCAAACAGTCATAAGCGAATACTATCATAAGGGCACCGATAAAAAAAAAAAAAAAACAGAGTTACCTATATTTGAAAAAGATTTTATGCTTTGCTTTCTTGCTTTTCTCTCCTTACCTAGTTTCTAATATTTATTTAATTTTTATTGTAATTATTATTTACCATTTTGTTTTCATTTTAGTGATGGTGAAAGGCAATTAAATTCTCATTCAACAAAAGGATCTGGGAGGTTTTCCAAGTAAAAAAAAAAGGTAAGAAATGGGTTTAAAATAAGTATATCATTTGCATGATATATTATTTCTTCTAGTTAAGGTTTTTGCTGAAAATAATGACATTCGAGTTTTCTTGTATTTTATATTCATTCAGCTTTCCTTCAGCAACCTTATAAAATATACTAGAAACTCATAGTCGTTGTAAGACATCAATAAATACTTCGCTTGCATATGGTAAATCAATGGTTGCAGATTTTATTTCTATGAAGAGCTATTTTTTTAAAGGTTCATAATTGTTAGATTTCATATTCAGTAAAATTTTCAGTTAATAACATATGAAAAGAGCTCTGAAATAATGCATTCGAAAACGTAAAAGAAAATTCTAGTGAATGATAGTAAATATTGTAACATATCGTCGAACATTTTTATCATTTCTTATGCCAGATTATAACCATTACTTCCTTTAGGAACTCCTAGTTTGTGGTTGATGACAATTTTTATTACTATTCTGATAGTTTTTACTCAGTGCTCGTCTAAATCAGTGTCTTCAAGAATCCTCATGCTATTATTGTGAAGTTCTACCGATTTCGTTAGAGAGGCATAGATTCTGACTAGCGCGCGTTCACCTTTTTAGGCTACTCATTCTCTCTTAAGCTATTATTACGCTCGGCCGTACTTTAGGCCCTTGATAGCTTCGCCGTTATTTAGCATTAAGAGGCCAACTCTTAGAATCTTGATAGATGCGGCTTTTAGTTAAGATTAGTTTAGTTTCTAGTTTCCTAAGTTCAAGCCCGAGTGGAGGTTTTATTGTAACTCCATGAATGGAGTCATCTGTTAAACTTTATTTGGAATAATAAAGGGTAATTTTATAAGGTATTTCTACCACTTTCCTAGCGTGCCTTCGTGGTGTAGTGGTTCTGCACGCTGGGCCGGTATTTCAGAGGTCAGTGGTTCGATTCCAGGCGAAGGCGACTGCTAATTTTTCATCTTGCCTGCTTCCAAAAAAATCCTAATATCTCTACAATTTAACCCTTCTGACGTTTTGTTCTCTGTCTCACGAACTCAAGCGATTATTCGCTTATCAGTTCTTAAGGTTCCTCACTTTAACCTAAAGGCACACAGGTTGGAATCTTACATATTTATTATATTAAACCCCTACATTTAATTATGAAACCGTCATACTTCCTCAAATTTTTCAAAGTTTCAAATGAGGTAAAAGACCATTATTATTCAAAATACAAATAAAGCTACTATAAATCATGCAATTTTAGTAAAAGTTTTATTAATAATATTCATAAACTAGGAATTTTATATTTTAATGAAATTTTAAGAGGTTTTGAACTTATGTTGTTATATATGAATTTTTACTATATATCTAAAACATAATTTTTCTATATTCATTTTTTACTATTCAGTTTCTTTAATATAAATAAATTAAGATGTTCTAATACATTTTTATCTATTTAATTTCAGGTCTAAGGATTCGATACTTCTCAGTATAAAACAGTAATCTCATAATAGATATTTACTCATAAATCAAGGACAATCAAGCAACACTTGTCATCCTTCCTATGTAAATTATATCTCACTCAGTTTAGAGTTTGATATTTTCCCCTTCTCTTTTATACGGAATCAACTTCTTTACAACAGGATAAATATCAGTAACATTCCCAATTTAAGAAACATTACTGTTTTGTATTATGAACTGACTTTCTTCTTTCAATTAACTTTCTTTTTATGAAATTATCAGTTTATAAATTTATATATGATATTTACCTTAATTATATGTGATTAAAAAAACGCTTCTGTGATTGAACATTTTTTGCAATGCTAATTTGTATAGTAACTGCAATAAAATGCATATTATATCTGCGTAGAATTTTTTCTTACTGTTATGCCAGTGAAATGATTTAAAAAATGAAAGTATACAAATGTTAGAAATGAAGATTTATTTTAATGCATTAAAATGCCTTTTTCTGCATTAAAATTTAAATTACTGAATCATTCATCTTGCAGGGTTTATATTAATTTTCTAATAGTTACTTTTTTTTTTCTGGAGCAAGTCTTTCCTTTATTTTCTCGTTTTCCACCTACGTTTACCTGCCAGAAAGAATTTTTAGGATTACGTTTTGTCTAAATGAGGTAGAAACAAGTATTTAATTTGAAGTCTGCGTCACTTCACTAGAAGAACCTAGTAAAAAGTGCTCTGCCTTCCGGCTATTTGTGTTGCTAATAGTCTAACTTTGCTACTATTCGGCCGTACTGCTATGTGCCTGCCGGTGATCTTAAATCACGGCCAACTCCATTATTTATTTCTGTGCAGCTTCGGCTGGTTTTACTTTAGTTAATATTAGATTAGTTCTTATTCTATGTCTTGAGTTAAAGCCCAAGTGAAGGCTTACCGTAAGCCCGAGGAGGGGCAATTTGTTCATTTATTTTAAGTACGAATAAAGGGTAAATTTAAGCCGTCTTCGAACTCTTACTTGCTAGAACTCTGCGATAAGTCGCTATGCAGTTCTTCAATATCCTAGCCCTCAAACACTTCCAAATTAGCTAGAATATTACAATTTTACAACAAATTTTAGATAAATCTATGTTATATTTCAAAAAAATAAATGAATGAAAACTCATGATTAGGAGACAGTTGATAATAAAACTGTTAATGAACATTAATAAGGTAGAAACCAAAGCCAGTAAAATGCATAATCAGACCATATACTGAGTAAATATAGGTCTAGAACCATTCCGTATTAGAATAATGCGCGTTAGTTTATGCCTCTGGTGATAACGCTTCAATACATACCATTGACCATGGACTCTTAACGCCGAATACTGTCCTACTTAATTTGCTACTAAGGTGCTCTTCAACCGCACTTTACAAAACGACTGCAAGCGATATCCTAACATGTTCCATGCGTGTTTGGTTGAAATCAGAGTTGTAAATATGATACGCGAATGAAAGATTTGCAATACTTTGTACACATTATCAAAAGGCATTTGCTGCGAGCGACGATAACTGGCATTTTAAAAGACAATCTCCGGCACACGGGACAACACTGGCAATATAACAAACCCCAAGACGTCATAAACGAATCATCGGGACTTTGTTTCAGTGAACGATCACTACATGTGATGAAAGGTGTCTTTAAGTAACAGCTTCTAAAATGATAAAGCCAGATATTATGTGCCACTTCATAATACCATGGGATAATAAGACACCTACCTGCAATGAACATTGTTGCTGATATCCATGAACTAGTGACAGTGAAATTTAGCCTCTGCCAAACTTTTTGCAACGGGTATATTACATGTCCACTATATGTGAAAATTGAATGTTACGTAACGAAGTTGTCAACATCCTTTCATCACCTCTCACTATCGCATAATCTTTCCAGGAAATGTTTATCCTAGCCCTGCTGCTATCCTCTTACTGACGTTTAGTTTACAGACGTTTGCTAGAACCATTTGGTAATATAATCAATATAATCATCTGATAGTATCATTACTCCGACTTCTGTGGCAGGCAAGTCTTCGATACGTTCAACCCGCCACATCATATTTCTAAAGGTGGTGATGACGCTTAATTAGTTGAAGCAACGAGAGTGCGTCTTCGAGGATATCTTATTTTCTTATATTAACGCAATTATAGTCAGTTGTTCAACAAAAGTAAACCACGAAACAAAAGTACATTTTAATTATGTATTTGTTGTAAATACTGTCGAGTCATTAGGTTATTTTTGAAGCACGACACGTGAAAAAACGCGCGATGTCTAGCCGGGACTCGAACCTGGACCTCTCTAATACGTGCCGAATGTGCTACCGTCACATCACAAAGGCATGCAAAAATGAGGGAGAAAATACTTTATACACTCCTCCTTTTAAAGGGCGACTGGAGATTAGGGACCCAGTTACCAAATCCTAGTGGTAGGGAACTATTCTCCATCACCTTTTGGTTCGGGGGCCACATGTAAACCATTCTGAAGCAGGAGACGCGAAAAATAAGCAATGCCCTCGCCGGGCATCGAACCTGGACCTCTCGATTACGTGCTGAGTGTGCTACTGTTACACCACGAAGGCATGCTGGAATGAGAGAGAAAATAACTTATAACACGACTTCAAAAATTTGCAGATAGTAAAATTATGGAACTGTGAGTCATTGCAATTGTTACATTGCTTAAAGAAACTGAAAGTGACTACAGAGAAATTATTTACTAAAATGAAGTGAGGTAGTTAAATCGAAGAGCTGTATTGAAGCAATTTTTTGATATAATATAAGAAATTTTTATGACATATACACACAAAAAGTTAGTAAATAAAAACATCGACGAGCTACATAATGTTACATGGATACCAAATTTAACATTTCAAATTGACTTGAATGGGCATTTAAATATTCTCAATAAAGAGGTACAAGAAAAGAATTAACTTATCTTTAATATGAATGCTTACATTAAAATTTTTTAAATTAAATTGCAGTTACGAGAAGCACCACATGAATAAAAATATATTTACATTTACTACATCTTAAATCCTATTCTATTATTTCAGATGAGAAATCAAAAAATTATCATTTACGACAATTTATTATCATTATTATGATAAAAATTTGAAGAAAGATATGTTAATTTGAATTATTTTTAGTTCAATTTTATATCATTTTCATTACTATTAAAGCGAGCGAATATCTCACCAGGAAATTCGAGCTTATTAATTTACTAGTGTGATACAAATCCTATTCAAATGTTTGCAAATACAGATTTGATTAACTTTTAATAATCGTACTAGTGAAAAGATAATTATCCTCAGTCATGAATATTTGCATTAAGAGTGATCGATTTGCTTGGGAGTACATTTATACGCGGAAAGTTTTTTTTTTGCAGGTGAAAGTGAGTAAGTGCGAGAAAAGAACCTACTTGACCAATGAGAGTCTACAATCCATAACGAAGATAGTTTCTAGAATTTTTTTCTCCGAGGCTAAAAATGTTATCAAAATTGAAATGCAATCGAGAGTTAACTTTTAGTAAGAAAAAGTTATTTACAATTGTTTACATAGAAATATTTTTTCTGCATGTGTTGAAGAAAAGTTTAATAAATAAAAGAGATAGGGTTTCATTATTTGTTTTCAGGCTTTATCCCACTTAATTTTCTCTGGAAATTTGAAAAGTTCTCATAAAATTTCCTTATTTTTATAGCTCAAGTAAATTAGTGATTAATTCAATACATTAAAATTATTTGAAATACTCATGTATCGGAAAACTTCTGCTAGAAATATAAACTTCGCAAAAATGTAAATGTCATTTTTTTCCTTCGCATAATTATTGTTACAATTATTTAGTATGTTTTGACAAATACCTGTGAGCATCTTTAAAAAAAAAATTTACCGTAAGAAAGAATAATATAATTTTAACCTCGGAGAAAATAAATAAAAAATAAGTATAGAAATACAACTGAATATCCTAGAACTGAACCTCTTAGAAAATACAACTGAATATCATTAAAATAAATTTTCAGTTAAACCACGTTTGAAGCAAATTAAGATTTAAAAATATAATTCCCAGACATGTTACAAATTTACGTGAAACATATCACACACGAACGTCACACGTAACATCAGTTTGCAAAGGACTGACATCCATACGTGAGGAATATACACAACACACTATACAGGGTGGTCATAAAAAAACTATCCGCTCAACCGATCGAAATGAAATTTCGGATATTATTATTCGGAAAACTGAGCTCTCAAGATTGCGGTTGCTGAGAAAACATTTCGAAATTTTCGAGTGGCAACAACCATTTTTTTTCTTGCGCAAAGTGATCAGCTTATTAATACTTTTATGTATTAAAAAATCATACATTTATGTATTAAAACATAGTATACATTAGGTATTAAATATAGATTATTTATGTATTAAAACACAGTATACATTTATGTATTAAATGTCATAAATGGCTTAGAATGATATACGTACGGTGAATTTTGCCGAGGTAAGACATTTGCAAAGGATATATGTTATATATTGTTATGATATTTTTTAATGCTGCAAAAGTAAGATCTTTAATGCAAAAGTAAAATCCGCCAAGTCAAAGGACACTTGCAAAATCATCGAAATGCTCAATGTCAACTCTAAACAAAGTGATTAATGCTGATTTGTATTTTAAAATGCCGAAAAACCATAATGAGAATCGTCTTTCTCCACGATATATTGCCGAACACAGAACGCGCTGTAGAATTCTTTACGAGAGATATTTATCCAAACAAAAATGGAAACATGTTGTCACATTAAACGAATCTTGGATATACTTAAATGACCACAATAAAAGGAGATCCATTTACTATCATCAAAGAGGAGAAAAATCTTAAAACATTGTTCAAAGAATCTAAAGAAAGTTTTTCAAAGGTATTTATGATTGTTGTTGGTGTTTCATACAACGGTAAGTTAAAAATAAAGAGAGTGGAGAAAAGTGTTAAGATCAACTCCACTTATTATCAAAACATATTTTATACCCAGTTTTCAAATATGAAACTCCTCCTCTTTACACACAAGGCCATCAAATGCGTCCAGACAAAGCATGCAACGATACGTCAAAATCTACTGTTAATGTCCTGGAGAAAATAGAACAAGAAATGGGTATCAAAGCCATACTCTTCACTCATATCCCTACTAAACCTCCTGATCTATCACCAATCTATTTTTGCGCTTCCTGGACTTTTAAAAAGCGAATTGTCCAAACGCCGACCAACAACCTCTTTAGACTTTGGAAAGCTGTAATGGGCTAAGCTGTAAAGCTGTAATGTAATGGGCTTTGGAAAACTGTAATGAAAAGCTACAGTAATGGAATAAAATATCTCTTCAGATATTACAAAAGGCTTTA